TGAATCACCCTAAACCCTAAACCCGAAACCCGAAACCCTAAACCCTAAACCCTAAACCCTAAACCCCAAACCCTAAACCCTAAACCAACCCTAAACCCTAAACCAACCCTAAACCCTAAACCCTAAACCCTAAACCCTAAACCATTCCGCATCTCTCTTCAAGTCCCCTTGTAAACCCGCCGTGGTCTCTGACACACTCGGGCATCGTCCCAGCCAAGAGTACTTTCAGTATTCTAGCAATCCTAGTAGTGCTGGATTATTCCTCGGCTCTGTGATTGCGAAAATTTCCATCCCGGGTGATACGTACGCTTAACATAGGGGTCGGAATAATTACCTAATCATATTCCCCCTATGGTCCCTGTGTAGTTATACTACAACAACCCCCCAAAACCCTCTTCTAAATTATTCAGGCCCCTACATTAGAGATACTCGGCGACTTCGGTGAATGCCTCCTGCCAGGAGAAGCTAGCGGCGGCTCAGGAGCAGTGCAAGATACTGCAGCAGGAGGCGGGGTAGACTTGGGGGTTTTACGTAGATAGGGGTTTAGGGTTTTGGGTTTAGGGTTTAGGGTTTAGGGTCCTGAAATAGCGTGATTCCCCCTCAGAGTAAGGACCCCCATAAGGTACTCCGAATTTCGGAAATCCCCTCTTGGGGCTGGGCTTTGGATTCTGGGAGGGCAGGCTTTCCCTGGGCGTGAGAGATTTTGGGTGCTGGCTGCTGCGCACCTGTGCCATGAGACTAGAACTAACCCTACCTTAAGCCCAAAGGATGAATCTCAACCTGGTAGTAGGAGTCCCCTATACAAATCTGCTGTTCTACATGCCCTCAGCACTCTGGAAAACGAATCTTTTTGACTCTTGAGGATTAAAAGCGCTCTAATCGCCTCCCTCAGAACACTATGAAAATGCAACACCTTAAGCCCCAGATGTATTCTAAGCCCCTAAAAACTGGACCCTAAACCCTAAACCGTAAACCCTAAACTCCTGAAAACGGCCTGGCCTACGAAGCTCACAGCGCTGTCGCCGTCACAGATGCCGGATGAGCAAGTTCGAAATCATACCCTAAACGCTAAACCCTAAACCCTAAACCCTAAACCCTAAACCCTAAACCCTAAACCCTAAACCCTAAACCCTAACCTAAACCCTAAACCCTAAACCCTAAACCCTAAACCCTAAACCCTAAACCCTAAAACCTAAACCCTAAACCCTAAACCCTAAACCCTAAACCCTAAACCCTAAACCCTAAACCCTAAACCCTAAACCCTAAACCCTAAACCCTAAACCCTAAACCCTGAACCCTACACTCTACACCCTAAACCCTAAACCCGAAACCCTAGCCGTAAATCGAACCCCCACATGCCCGGCAAGGTCGCCCGCAGCTCCGCAACCGCAGAACGCGCCGAGGTGGAGCTCGCAAGGCGACGTTCCCTGGGCCAGCTTTGAAGGTTTAGGTTCCGTCATCCTTAGGGTTTAGGGTTTAGGGTTTAGAGTCTAGGGTTTAGGGTTTAGGGTTTAGGGAAAACCACACTCCGGGGCAGGAGATCAATTGTGCGGGACCAGGGCGTGGGGAGCAGGGGGAGGCGGCTTCGGTGCCTGGAAAGCTTCGGAGTTCAGGAGTTCAGGAAGTTGGAGTTACCGGGTGTATGGCTGGACGGGGGGTTTTCTGGGGGGGAAGGAACATTCAAGGAGTTCCCAATTGGGCGTTGGGGTTGCGGGTTGCAGGGTTCAGGACAGGGATGTTTCGGGCTCGATTGCGGCTGTAGATGGGTTTTGGGGTCCCTCATATAATTCGGCACCGAATATTTCGGGTGTTCAAAAAGGGACCCTAATTTTGACAACTGCCCAGATGGGGTTTGGGTAAGAGGTCAGGTAGCTTATGCTGCTTACACCTGCTTACTGCCTTGCTCTCGAACTACAGCACGCCTTCGTGCAGGCGCACGGAAGACGAGTTCATGCGCCTGCGGGACGTGCAGAAAGAGCCTGCACCTCAGCCGTGCTGGGTTTGTAGTGGGTTTAGGGTTTAGGGTTTAGGGTTCAGGGGATGGCAGCCCACATTGGGACAGCATTGCGAGCAGCGTTGTGGCTGCCTATCAAATCCAAGTGTGAGGCATCGAGACGGCGAATGTCATGCAAGAATTTCATCCCACCGCAACGGAAGCTCTACGGCGGAAAGATGCTTCCAGATGCTCTCTTGAAAGCTCGCCTTGACTAAACTTTTATACTGTTAAACTTGGAAGCTGCATGTAGCCAATGGCGGCAACCTTACACAGTAACCAACCCAAAAAAGGGGCAGCCTTTTCATATGGTTTAGGGTTTAGGGTTTAGGGTTTAGGGTTTAGGGTTTAGGGTTCAGAATGATCGTGGTGTGTGCGACAGCCAGCGTGCCGTGTGGCGTGAAGTGGACCGGTTCGTGGCTTGGCTTCTTGGAAGGTGGAGTTCCAGCCCATGCAGCAGTTTAGGGTTTCGGGTTTAGGGTTTAGGGTTTAGGGTTTAGGGTTCAGGGTTTAGGGTTTAGGGTTTAGGGTTTAGGGTTTACGATGTTAGGGGTGCCTTGAGTCTTGGAAAACATGAGCTTGCACACGTCGACAACAATACGAACAATGAAAAGGTTACACGCCGCAACCCGTAGCCCTTCTACGAACAACAATCAGGCCTTTTCTGGATTCCTTGCGCGACTCTTGTTTGGCAGCCTCGCTAATTTGAGTTGGCAGGTTAAAAGGTTCCGCCTCCCCAATTTAGTGAGGCACATGGCGAGCCATCTTCGCCTGAATCAACATGGCAGCTCTGCACAGCGCCCGTAGATTTGAGCCATTTTGTGAGTGATTGGGTTTTCGAACACCAACGCGTGGTGACTGACAGTTCAACAGTCCGCTTCATCACCACGACCAATCATCATCGACCTTTTTTGGTGGAAACCCTAAACCCTAAACCCTAAACCCTAAACCCTAAACCCGAAACCCTCAACCCTAAACCGTAAACCCTAAACCCCTAAACCCCTAAGCCCTAAACCCTAAACTGGAGTCTTGTTTTTTGATCTTGGCTGCAAGGCTGCTCCAGCTCCAGCAGGAGGTCCGACGGAGGTTGAGGGTTGAGGGTTTGCGTGTGGGAATGCCTAGTGGCGAACCAACCAGGCCACCTTTTTCATCCCCGCGCGTGCTAGTTTTCAGGATTTCGTCTTTCAGGTTTCAGCGTTTCTGGTTTGGGGTAGTAGGTTTGTTGGGGTTCTTTCTTTCGAAGTCGTTGGTCTATACAGTGAAGAGTCTGCATTTCCGAAGCCGCATACGCTTGGAACGCCGCGCCTTGAACGCCTAAATCCCAACGAAGGCCAAGCACCAACATCCCCTGAAAGCAGTTCGAGGCAACCTAAACCCCCACTCCCCAAACTGATGGCAACCATTTTTTTCACAACACAAAAGGGGCACTTCCTTCGGCTCTCAACCCCCCAAACTTGGGAGGTTCCCCCTAAAACTAGCAGGCCCCAAATGGGTATTATAGACCCCCCCCCTATCAGAATCCCTATTCAGCTGTTAGTATAAGGGGGAACATCCCACCCCCCCCCAACCCTTGTCGCCAGGCCCCCAAGCTCCAGGAGAGGAGCCAGCACTACCGAAGGCTCGAGCAGGCCCCACCTTGTTATTCCTAAACCCTAAACCCTAAACCCTAAACCCTAAACCCTAAACCCTAAACCCTAAACCCTAAACCCTAAACCCTAAACCCTAAACCCTAAACCCTAAATTACCGGGTTCTTAAGGGAGGTGAAAGGGGGGGGTACGTGACCCAAGGTTCCCTCATACTCCCCCACCACTCCCTAAGGCTCCCAAAGCTTCCCGCCCTGAAGAACCCTAGAATTTTAAGGGGGACTCCTTGGGTCAAACCCTAAACCCTAAACCCTAAACCCTAAACCCTAAACCCTAAACCCTAAGGATCTCTCGGTTATCAGAGGAGCCTTGACAGTCTGGGAGTCTTGGGGGCTGACGTGGTTTGGAGCCGGGGCGCTTGGGACTTCGGGTGCCTTTCGGTTCTTTTTATGTAAGCTGCTGCGTGGCCGCGTCATTACCCGTTAAAGGAAGAGGGGCACTACGACATGTACGGTTTCTTTCAGGGCCTTGTTTTCTGTTGACCAGGGTGTGCATTGTTTCAACTCGGACGTTCGGTCGAGAGTGCTGGTCGACAGTAGGGACTGTGACTGCTTGCTTCCGCCCAAACCCCACTACCCCTTACGCCTGAAGACATGAGCCGGCTACATGGGGGTTTACGATGTTAGGGGTAACCTATTGGTGTCCTTATTCTAAGTGTAGGGATCCCTTATTATCGTAAGCCCCCCCCCCCCCCCCCCCCCCCCCCCCCCCCCCCGTCCCCCCCCGTCCCCCCCCCCCCCCCGCAGACTAAACCTTGAAACCCCAAACCCCAAACCCATCCAACGCCTCCATGCAAGTCTGCTCTCTAACGCCAGAAACCTTATGAGCCCTAAACCTGGAGAAGCAGGCTCCCAAGCGTGACACCTCTGCCGCAAAACCTAAGTTTCAGAACCGGCATTGGTACTCCGAAGCGCTGAATATATCTACTGTTCCGTTTGGGGTTTGGGTTTTAGGTTTTGGAGTGTTTCAAGTTTTGGTGGGGTTGGGGGCTGAACGCCCTACATTCAAATAGTCTGCTGTGCACGGAAGCTGACCCCAGTTTCTTTCTTGAGGAAGCCGGAACAGAGTGCCGATGCCATGGTCTTCATGGGCGGTCTAGGGTAGACTATGCTTGCAATCCAGACTTTAAGTTGACAAGCTAACCCTACCCTAGGCCCTAATCCCTAATGTAGGGGTCGGAATAAGTACGACTAGTAGTATTCCCTTACGCTCCCTATGTAATTATACTATAAGAGCCCGCCACCCCCCCGAAAAAAAAGACGAATCCTTAAGGCCCCTATATCCCTGAACCCTAACCCTAAACCCGGGCTGAGAGTGAATCAAGAACAAGCCCAGAAAGCTACAAGTAGTCCCTTTGCATGCCATGCCGGACCCCTGGGACAGCAAAACGGCACGGCGCTCAGCGCCCGCGGCAAAGTGTACCAAGTTTAGGGTAGGGTTTAGGGTTTAGGGTTTAGGGTTTAGGGTTTAGGGTTTAGGGTTTAGGGTTTAGGGTTTAGGGTTTAGGGTTTAGGGTTTAGGGTTTAGGTGTCTAGGGTTTAGGGTTTAGGGTTTAGGGTTTGGGGTTTAGGGTTTAGGGTTTAGGGTTTAGGGTTTAGGGTTTAGGGTTTAGGGTTTAGGGTTTAGGGTTTAGGGTTTAGGGTTTAGGGTTTAGGGTTTAGGGTTTAGGGTTTAGGGTTTAGGGTTTAGGGTTCTGGGATCAGGTTCCAAACATGGCATGTTGAACGTCAGTGCCCTGCACCCAAGAGCTTGAACTCTTCGCCCTGCTGGGATGTTGTCCGTGGTGTTGAGTGCGTGTGAACCCCGAACCCAAGCCCGGATAAGCTGTTTCATGTACAACGGTTCGTGTAAAGCCTGTGTACATCGGACGGAAACTGACCCAGTCACTTGCCGGAAAGACCTGTGGAGGGAGAGGAAGTTTAGGGTCGAAGGCTCGCAGAGCTACCTCACGCAAGCCGACATTGAGGCCTTGAGGAAGAACACCAAGTCCCCAAGCCCCCCCCCCTCTTCCCGGCAAAAGACCTTGGAACCTCTAAGTATCGAGCTCGGGCGGAATGATGTTTCTGAGGCTTGGGCTCAAACGTAAACCTTATACAGTTTCTTTGAGGTCATCGGCCTTTTTTGCGACCCGTATGTCGCCAACACGAACCTCGAGGGGGGCCACTCGGTGGGGGCCCTGTCGTGTATCGCGAGGAGTCGACTCTAAGCCCTGGTTTGGGGTGTAGGGTTTAGGGTTTGCAGGGTTTGGCTCTTAACCGCCTGAAGCCCGCAAGAGGGACTGCACACGGAGTTCATCTGAAGGCCAAGCTATTATGTGAGGTAGCGTAGTAGTATGCAGGGTTTGAGAACAGCCTAAGTGGCCGGGGACAGCTCGGGAAGCACTAGCGGTGAAGCTGCGTTCATGGCATGCGGAAACCGTTGGAGCACTAAGAATTCTTTTGGGAAGCCTCAGCTGCAGGGGAACCTCAGCTTTAAGAAGGGCAAGGAGTTCTTCGTAGTCTTTGGAGTTTTGGGTAAAGGGCTATTCAAGGTCTGGGAGTCTTGCCTTTGGGCTGCAGCTGCCCTAGCCGATCCCTGATCCAAGCCTCACCACCAGACGACAAGAGCCCTGAACCCCGAACATGACCTTGTTGAATCGCAACACTTCGACACACCCTGAGCCCAGTGCTCGTGACTTCAGGGTGGTTCGGATGCATGGTTCAGCGGTGGGTGGGGTTTGTCGCGTCGCGCTTCCGGGATTCAGACTTCAGGCCTAGTGGCTTAGCAGGTTGGCGTCAGAGTCAGAGTGAGGTTTTCAGTCATGAAGGACACACGCTTTTGACCCAGGAGGAGACGCTAAGCGACGTCTCCGGGTGGCTCAAGGATCTGAAGAGCAGCAATCCAAAGGCATCCAAGGCGGGGGGGGGGGGGGGGGTTATGGGGGTTAAACGTTTAAGGCTCCTAGGATCTCTTTGAGCGGGCTGGGCTCGAGCGTCGCCTTGTTGGGGTTGAGATGATGGCGTAGGGCCCCATCCCAGCAGTAGAAAGGATTCTGGGGTTCGTTGCCTCAGAAGTTGTCCAAACTTGCAATTGGAACTTGGTTTTCTTGTTATCCTTCCCTTTTGCCGCAATGTCTTCCTAAGATGCATCCATGCTGGAAAGTATTTGGGTGAAACCCGTCAGCTGCAAGCGCATGGGTTGCCTACATCCTTGCACCACGATAGGCTCTCTAAACCCTAAACCCGAAGCTCCACCTTCCGCGTACAGCGATACCTGCATGAGCGTGTGGGCCGAAGCTCTTGTTCGGCCCGGGGCTAGGGGATTTGATTTGCAGAGTTTTGAAGTTGAATTTGCTCAAACTGGTGGCTGCAATAGACAGGTCACAAAAACAGCTTCGCCGATCCACCCAGACACCTCCCGTGAACAGAGTATTGGCATGTACCGGCATATTCCCTGGTGCGGGCCCCATGCACTAGTATCGGCACATCGGCGTCTTTGACCCCTGGACGGCATCGGCTTCTCGGCGTATTTCCATGGCGCGGGCTGCGCAAGGCGTAGCGGCGCATCGACATGTGTTCTTTCTGCGGGCCCCGGATCGGCGCGCCCCCGAACGGAGCGTCGGCTTATCGGCGCGCAGCCCCCCCCCCCCCCCGCCCCCGCGCCAATGGCGTCCGCAATTGCCCTGTAAGATCCTCCAACAGCGTATCAAGTTATCCCCTCTTCTCCACGGAATGGGGGGCAACAATATGTGCATCCTCGTAGCCTTCATAAATTCAACCCTGGATCCCCTCAAAAACCCGAAACACTAAACCCTTCGTAGAGCTCTCCAAAAGCTGTAGCCCTAAAGCCTCAAGCCTGTGCCTGAGCTCTTACCTTCAAAGGTCCTCCAAGAGGCCTCCCACCTCTTCGCAGAGGGCGCGAGGTCCACAGAATCCGGACAGGTCTAGAGTGTAGGGTTTAGGGTTCAGGTTTAGGGATTAGGTTTTTTTTGGGTTTCAGAGGTTTATGGGGAGCTTTCATCAGTCTGGGGGGCTGCCCTGGATTGGGTCCTCGTAGATCAGGAGTGCAATGCTTTGGCTATGGTCCAGCAGGCGAAGTAGTAAGGAATCCCAGATCTCCAAAGCTGCCCCGAAACTCTGAAACCAGGACTCACTTTGCGATTTTGATTCCCTTGGCTGCAGATCAGTACCAACGCAGAGCTCAGAGCAGATCAGCCACATGAATCGTTGCAGAGATTTCCTGGTTTTAGGGGTTATACCTACTAAATAGGGGGTACTAATCTGTAGGTAAATAGGGTCCCAGGTTCAGTCAGGGGCAATGTAGTATGAAGAAGCATTGTAGAACGTCGGGCTTGAAGGCCGCAAAGCCACAGATTAGGACTGGTTTCCGAGCTCCCTAATCAATAGCGCCCATTCAATGTTGTTAAGATCTCTACGGTTTTTGGTTTGTGTTTATTGATTCTGGGTTCTACTTTGGGTGCCCTTTTTTTGGTCAAGGGGCTCCCACAATAGAGACTAGTCTTCTGGGGGGCATGGGGCAAGACAGTTCCTTTCAGAGGGAGAGCCCAGGCCGTAAGGTTCGGACTGCATAGGGGGGTGCTTCAGGGCCCTAGAGGTGCAGAATTAGGGCTTAAGGGTTCCAGGGTTCAACCCTCCCCTAAACCCTATAGCCTTAAGCCCTGGACCCTAGATCCACCGCCCCTTCAGAAACGCTAAGCGCCAAAGTAACATCTCCACCCCACCTCAAACTCCTCGCCCATGAACTGTATCCTCCTTGGGAATTATTTCTTATTCTTGATTGTATAACAGCGCCAAGAGGATATTAAACATTTTATTTTTATTAAGGTTCTAAGGGGAGTATGGTGAACTAAACCCTAAACCCTAAACCCTAAACCCTAAACCCTAAACCCTAAACCCTAAACCCTAAACCCTAAACCCTAAACCCTAAACCCTAAACCCTAAACCCTAAACCCTAAACCCTAAACCCTAAACCCTAAACCCTAAACCCTAAACCCCTAAACCCCTAAACACCTAAACCCTAAACCCTAAACCCTAAACCCTAAACCCTAAACCCTAAACCCTAAACCTAACCCTAAACCCTAAACCCTAAACCCTAAACCCTAAACCCTAAACCCTAAACCCTAAACCCTAAACCCTAAACCCTAAACCCTAAACCCTAAACCCTAGACCCTAAACCCTAAACCCTAAACCCTTTCAAAGTGAGCCCCAATCCTGAAGTGCCAGGCTGGGCAATGAAGGCTGGCTCCTCAGCGTTTGTCCCCCCCCCCCCCTTCCCCCAAACCCGACAAGTCTGGGCTGACTCAAGGGGCTAACAGGGGTGGGTTTGAACATCTACAGAATATATATATATATATAACACAAAAACATACATATATGTATATATGTATATATATATATATATCGAAATTTGTTACGCTTTATGCACTTAAGAATCCTGACAAAGCCATGTTTTGTTGATACGGCCCCCAAACCTACCCCAGTTAGTGGCAAGCTCTGGTGACTGAGTGCAGGTACCCAACCAGCAAGCCGGAGGGAGAAACTTCAGAAGTTCATAAGCTGCAGTACCCCACTGTTCACTGTTCCCGATGACGATCCCGAAAGCAGAGAAGCCTTGACTTGAGGGCCCTGAAGCCCTAAACCCAACACCCCAAACGTCTCAAACATGCGGAGATTTTGGCAGAGAGCTGTGCAACTTCGCCCCTACAAGAACTGCAATCCCAAACGCCAGCAGGCCTTAACCCTCGCAGCCTCAGACGCAAAGTCGCAAAACCCTAAACCTCGAGGCCTCAACTAGGCCGGCCTCCTCCCCCTAAAGCCCGTAAGCTTCCGGAACTCTCCAATCGAGGTCGTGGGGCCTTCGGCTCTGCGACAGGAGCTGCCGCATGGTGCCAGTCGCTGCGAAAGGTGGGGTTTAGGGTTCAGAGTTCAATCTTTACCCGGCCCAGGTTCACTGCCGATTGCGATTGAATGCATCAGGGTGTGTGGACCTTTAGAGTTTCTCTTCGTGTGTGTGTGGGGGCGGCGTGCAGGGCTGATTTGGGGAGGTTTCGGGCTTTGGGGCTCCTATGGTCTGGGGATGGCTTTCGGCTCAGGTGTGGAGCTTAGGTTGTCCTTCGGTGGCTAGTTTGGCTTTGAATGAAAGATTGGATTGCATGTCGGAGCTTTTGCGTTGCGCATCTCACACGACGTCGAGGGGGATGATTCTCTTTAGACCACAATGGGATCTCCTGCTAGAAGCCAAAAGCGAAAGTCAACGACTTCTTACAACCTCGAGCCCTTAAGAGCCCGTAAACCTCGACCCTAGAGACCCTTACTTGCAAGCCCTAAACCCAGCTTAGAAGCCGGGTTGTGCTGGGGGCTACAGAACTCTTGATGAAGAAGTGAGGGTTTCTGTTTGCATTTGGGGCTTGGTGCTTGTGATCTGTATGTTCGGGCTTAGTGAGGGCATAGCCCCCGACAAGCCATGACAGGCCTATTGCGATTGCTGCAAAAGCCTATTCCGGTTCGCATGCGCTCCTGGCACAGGCTTTGGAGGGCCTGAAGCAAGGGGACATGCTGCTTGCGCCTGGCGGGTGGATCCACAACAAAGGCCAGGTGGAGGGGGGTTCCTTCCCTGGGCCCTCAGGCCTTGCAAGCTTAGTGGCTGAGTAGGTAACCTTTAACCTTTTGGGGTATATATAATCCTACAAGAATTGAAAGGTTAACCTTTTTTGGCCCAGGGTACTCAGCAAGTAGGTAAGCCTTGCATCCTCGACCCTGAATTTGCAGCAACGTTTGAAGGTTGGGGGCCTGGGGATGCCTCCGGGGTACACCCACACATATTGGGGGTTTACGAGAATCCGGGACCCCTAATATAGACCTCCAGATAGTAGGATCCCTGTACAATAGGGACCCCAGGAAGCTCCCCCCAATATCGTAAGCCCCCATGTGTCCTATATCGAGGAGGTATCGAGAACCCCAACTCACAAATGCTTCCCGGACAGACCCCTAAACCCTAAACCCTAAACCGTAAACCCTAAACCCTAAACCCTAAACCCTAAACCCTAAACCCCTAAGACCCCTTCAAGGTGGCCATGCCATCCTTTACCTGTTCCAGCGTGTCCGTGGCAACGAGTTGCTTGGCGAACAGCGCGATGGAGGGTTTGGGATTTCAGGGCTTAGGGGTTGAGGTATTATGTTGGGCGAGGGTCGGATTTCCCTCCATCCGAAACCCACCCAAATCCCATACCGGCCCCAAATTCTTGTGAGCTAAGCCCTGAGCCCCGAACCTTGAATCCAGAAGTCAGCCAGGTTGAACGTCTCGTGGGGCAGACCTTGAATGGACCTGCAGAATATCTAGACGCATATGGGTTGTGTGTAACAGGTTTGAAGCAAGGCCCACAGCAATTGCTTGCTGCAGCTCAACAGGAGGGTCTACTTGCAGGTTCACGGGCAGTTCTCAGCGCTATCGGTACAGCTACTGCAGGCAGTTCATGATCCAACTACTTCCAATTCGTGAAGCGAAAAGGATCTGTGCCATGATGGGTACATCCGGTCCTAAGATATCCTGGCCTTCCCCGAAACACTACACCACGACATGAAGCAGGGTTTATACTACTGTTGCTGGTGAGTGTATATAAGGTTCCCTTTAATAGTGGTGAGTGCAGATATTTGGGTGTCCTTTTGGGGATACAAGTAATATAGACCCTACTTCACATGCAGCCGGCAGAGTCGAACCGAAGATCATCGAGCCACCGCCCGACAACCAAGCCCTACGACAGGTTCTCCTTCGCGGTGTGTAACACTGGAGAAGGGGTCAACGCGCATCCGCAGGACACCGTCCCTAAACCCTAAACCCTAAACCCTAAACCCTAAACCCTAAACCCTAAACCCTAAACCCTAAACCCTAAACCCTAAACCCTAAACCCTAAACCCTAAAGCCTAAAGCCTAAACCCTGAACCCTGAACCCTAAACCCTAAACCCTAAACCCTAAACCCTAAGACTCAACTACGCCAGGCTATGCGAGGCCGCTCCTTGTGGGGCCAAACCCTCAATGCTGAAAACTGAGCCCTACAAACCCCAACCCCAAGCCCGACGCCCTCGCAATCCTACCGTAGGAGCCCTGAAGACTCCCTCATCCCTCATGAAGCCCTAAACCCTAAACCCTAAACCCTAAACCCTAAACCCTAAACCCTAAACCCTAAACCCTAAACCCTAAACCCTAAAGACCCCAAGCTCCTCAAAGTTTTGGGTAGTGGAATTTAGTGCCGAAAGTATGACTGAGCCCTTGCCGAGTCTTAATCAAAGGGCCGAGTCGACGAGCTTGGTTGCCTGAGGGTTTTATAGGGTTTTATAGGGTTTAGGGTTCAGGGTTCAGGGTTTAGGGTTTAGGGTTTAGGGTTTAGGGTAGTTTAGGGTTTGACTTCTTCAGCATCGTCTCGAGTGAAGCGACTGCATGGTTTATGCACATGCTGGTACACTCCACATCGTGGTTGCTCTGCGCATGTCTCCCATCGAAGGTCTTGCCCGAAACCCTAAATCCTAAACCCCTAAAACCTAAACCCTAAGCCCTAAACCCTAAACCCCAAACCCTAAACCCTAAACCCTAAACCCTAAGCACGCTCCTTTCGGGCTCTACCTCCAGGATGCCGGAGCTGCCGTGTTTCCAAAGGAGAAGCATCTTGGCTCGTTGCAAAAGGCTTCGGGTCTGCTTGGAGCTTCATGGTACTTAGGGTTTAGGGTTTAGGGTGTAGGGTTTAGGGTTTAGGGTTTGGCGTACTTAATACCCAGTTAGTACTGTACTCATAGCCCACTTATGAGCCCCTTAAGTGCCCCAATAAGGTTGCATTTGGGTCTGAATGAAGTACAGTCATCAAGAATTGGGCTAACAAGCACCATGAACCTCCAAGTAGGGGGCCGCGCACTTATGCTTCAACTCCGAGATGGGAGCTTACGAAAAACAGGGGGCCCGAAGGTAGATCCCCCAAGTAGTCAGCTTCCCTGATAGCAAGGAGGACCCCAAGAAGGTACCCCCCCCCCCCCCCGCCCAGATCAGAATGCAGGCTCTGCCCCCCCAGAATAGCAGCCTACACTGTTGCGCAACATGCCAAAATCAAAATTAACCCTAAACCCTAAACCCTAAACCCTATACACCCTGCACTCTCGGCCCAAGGCCCTGAAGCCAGCGCCCACAATCCACACCGACCCCTAAACTAGGCTAATCCTTGCCGTGCCGCCTGCAACACTAAACCCTAAACCCTAAACCCTAAAGCCTAAACCCTAAACCCTAAACCCTAAACCCTAAGCCCTAAACCCTAAACCCTAAACCCTAAACCGCAGCTGGCATCGAGGCACGTCACGTCCTGGCGTCTGACGGGGATCCCTGCCGAGAAGGTCCTGGACGAACTCTGGCTCCATGCTCTTTTTAAGTGCCCTGGCCGTGATCTAGGGGTTTAGGGTTTAGGGTTTAGGGTTTAGGGTTTAGGGTTTAGGGTTTAGGGGGTCGGAATAATTGCTAGGAATATTCCCTGATGGTCCCTTTAGACCTATACTATAGCAACCCCTCCCAAAACCCTATTGTAATTATTTAGGCCCCTATAGCAGGCCTTTCAACAAGGGGGCGAGTTTCTGCCCCAAGTGCCCAAGGTCTTGGGGGGGCTCCAGGGGGACTTAAAGAGGGCCCCGGGATTTCCCCAGCTCGTGCACCCAGGATTTACTTCACCAAAGCAGATCACCACAAGCCGCCTATGCTCTACGAAGTGCTGCTTCCGATGCTTCTGCCAAATGGTGATGTCCGGAAGCAGACAGACGAGCCGGGCCCTTGGGGGTTTCAGATTTACACAGGCTCTGAAGAGGGAATTCGTGAAATCGGCGCAGTACCGTCCTTTTAAAGGACATCGCGTGCCTACTTCCTTCAGTCTCTGCTAAGAGCCAATAAGTATGGGGCGAAGCATTTGGTGTTTAGGGTTGGTTTGGCTTCCGAGCCCGGTGTGATGTCCTCCTGTCATTGGGTTGCTAATCCTCAATACTCAATGCAGCTAAACCTAAATCTACACCTTCGAGCACTCTTAAAGCAACACAAAGCCTCCCCAATCCCCCACGCCTTCCCCCCCCCCCCTCCCCCCAAGCCCAGCCCCCCCCCACCCTGCCAGTGTCCCCGAAAACTTGACGTGAAACTGACGGGCTCAGAATCTCCCTTAAATCTTGGAAGGTCCTGGCAGACAGCGGCAACCCTGCAACGAGCTGGCTCCTGCCCGGACCCTAACACTCCAGGCTTTAATTGAAATCCTGAAGCAGCAGCCCGCCCTGGCAAGGTTTCCCGTGAGAAGAGGATTTCGTGACATTGCTTGTGGATTCGAAAATAAGGCCAGATGTGGATTCGAAAATAAGGCCAGATAGGAACGCTGCCCGCTTGAAACCCTAAGCCCTTCACGCCCCAACCCGCGCACCCCCCCTAAACCCTAAGCCCTAAACCCTAAGCCCTAACCCCTCAACCCTCAACCCTCAACCCTCAACCCTAAACCTAAAGCCCTGCAGCGAGGCTACTACAAGTGCATCCCTGCTGCCTTGCGTTTGATTCTGGGCACCCGGGGCATCGAAGCGCCGGAGAGGACATCTGGCTCTGCCCCTCAACACCCTAAACCCTAAACCCTAAACCCTAAACCCTAAACCCTAAACCCTAAACCCTAAACCCTAAACCCTAAACCCTAAACCCTAAACCCTCAACCCTCAACCCTGAACCCTGAACCCTGAACCCTGAACCCTAAACCCTAAACCCTGAACCCTGAACCCTAAACCCTATAAAACCCTATAAAACCCTAAGCCCTAGACCCTAAACACCCCTGAGCCCTGAAGCCTCAATCCTGTACCCGTATCCCTAAACCCTGAAGCATGAGCCTTGATTGCGCAGCTCTTGCCTTCGTTCTCAAGGGCTGATTGGGATGCGGGGTTGGCAAGGGCTTTCAGTTCGGTGTCACCCTGGACCCTACACCTTGTGAAATTTTACGAATCCTGGATTTTCAGGGCTTGCTCAGTGTGTTGGGCGCAGTGAAGAAAGTTTGGATTTTTGTTTGAGTTTTGACAGACCCCCAAACGTGCGCGTTCAGGCTAGGTAAGGGGTTAGAGGCTTGAGAACTTGAATGGGTTGTGGGGCTTGGGGCCTTGTAATCAGCTAGCCAAGCTCGCAATGGCCGCACGGTGTCTCAGGCACTCTGCGGTTCAACCAAGCCATAAACGGCTAGATCCCTAAGAGCTCGAACCGTCAATTCGATACAGTTTGCTCTATTGAAAGCAACAAGCTGCAGGAAGCGGCTGATGTACCAACTGCGCGTGCAGCAGCTGCAGCAGATCCACAGGGCCCTGGGAAATACGGACCTGGAGGCAGCTCATCGAAGATGGGAACCCACCAGTCTGGACCCCGAACCCACAGCTTCGCCAAACCCAGGAAGCCCAAATTTGGGGGTTTACGAAAATAGGGGAACCCGAAGATAGACCTCCAAGTAGTAGGATTCCCTTTTCAAAGAAGGACCACAATAGGGTATCTCCTAATTTCGGAAACCCCCCAAATGCCCCCGAAACCTCTTGAGATCCCGAAGGCCTTCCGCACCCCTAAACCCTAAACCCTAAACCCTAAACCCTAAACCCTAAACCCTAAACCCTAAACCCTAAACCCTAAACCCTAAACCCTAAACCCTAAACCCTAAACCCTAAACCCTTAAACCCTAAACCCTAAACCCTAAACCCTAAACCCTAAACCCTAAACCCTAAACCCTAAACCCTAAACCCTAAACCCTAAACCCTAAACCCTAAACCCTAAACCCTAAACCCTAAACCCTAAACCCTAAACCCTAAACCCAAAACAAAACCCAAAACCTTTGAGCCGCTTCTCAGGGACTCTCTCGGTCGGACCTGATGGTGGTCGAGTGTGCTTGCCGGCAGGTGGCGCAGAAAGCGCCCAGGATGTGTTAGGGCCTTAGGGCCTTAGGGCCTTGGGGCCTTAGGGCCTTAGGGCCTTAGGGTTTAGGGTTTGGGGTTTAGGGATGGTATAAGGCTGAAGATTTATAGTGCTTGGCGGCTTTTGGCGTCGTGAGTTTCAGGCTGTGGTGAGATTCTTAAGTGCCATGATCTACGGTTTCAGGATGTGAGGGGTTCATGGTTTTAAACATACTAATTATTTCTAAGGATGCACATCGCTGTAAAAGGAGCTGCATAGACTCCTTATGCTGAATGTAATAACATGTTAAGCCTGAACCTGAACTCTACGGCTCTATGGCGCTCCCGGACATACTTGGAGGTTCATGAACCCCAGTTTCAAGTCCACATAGAACCTACTTAGAGGACTTAGGGGGCCTATAGGTGCAGTTATAATTGGTGTCATATGTAGTACCCTGAACCTCCAAGTAGACGTCTTGCAGAGCACATGTAGGGTTTTAACGCACATCCGCGAGGTGCTTCGAGAGGAGCGTGTTGGCCTTCCTGCCAAAGACATGGAATCGGTTGCTCGGCCCTAAACCCTAAACCCTAAACCCTAAACCCTAAACCCTAAACCCTAAACCCTAAACCCTAAACCCTAAACCCTAAACCCTAAACCCTAAACCCTAAACCCTAAACCCTAAACCCTAAACCCTAAACCCTAAACCCTAAACCTAACCCTAAACCCTAAACCCTAAACCCTAAACCCTAAACCCTAAACCCTAAACCCTAAACCCTAAACCCTAAACCCTAAACCCTAAACCTAAACCCTAAACCGCGGCTCTTCAGTGTTGGGGCTGGGGGTGTACTGTCGTGGATCTAAGAACCTCAAGGCTCAACCCTCTTCGAGATTCGAGACTGGGTAGGTATCCTTTGACCTCTTTGGGTATATCGAAACCTAGTATATAAGAAAGGCTAACCCTTCTTGGGCATTCGGCCCCTAAGACCTTAAAAACCTCGGTTCTGAGATGCGGGACCAGAGGCTGTCTGACGGTCAGTCCTTCTGTTCAGATGAAGCTACCGGCAAACACAGCAGGGCCAAAGGCCCCAAACCCCCCAAAACTCCCCCACATACACACAAAGCCCCCCAAAAAGCCCCTAAACCCTAAACCGTAAACCCAAAACCCCTCGACAGCAAGCAAAGAGAAAAGCTCGGGAGGTTCGGGAGCTCATTGCGGCGGTGGACGCCAAGGCGCGGTGCCCGCAACGCCTCCGAACTCAGGGTTTCGTGTTGGGTTTCAAGGGCTTGAGGGTGTAGCTTTTCTTTTTTCAAGTGCTCCATAGAAAGATGTTGTAGGGTGCATTAGGGGGGGCTCGAGGGCGTAGTTGTTTTTTTTACCGCATGTCTCTAAGTTTGCCCTACCAACACGCTTCAAAGCGTGAACGGGGGCATTCAGGAGTGCATGGAGGGTCCATGTGGTGTGCACGGGGCGTGACGGATGAACAGAAGGTCCATGGCGGTGTAAAGGGGAGGGGGGGTTGAGGGTGCGGGGTTCAGCTCGCATCTGAACCTCACCACTTAAGCCCAAAACCCCAAATCCAAATTCCAGACCCTAGCAAGCGCGAAGGTGGGAGAGGCGCACCAGGCCCAACGAGAAGCGATGGCGGCGCGCGCAGTCGGGATCAGCGAGGGAGCGAACCCCGTCCCTTGGGCAATGCAAAGGTGTTTTCGGGTTTCGGGGTGCTGGGGTTTTGGCACTTGAGCATGGCTTGCGCGGGGCCCAGCTTCCCCCCTAAGCCCCCAACCCCTCTGCGGCTGTAATCCAGCACTCTCATGCTAATGCAGTCTTCGCAGACGGCCCGCATGAGCAGCCTTTGCTTCTCACATACTGCTGAAGGATGGTATTTCAGCTTTCTCTTGCAAAGGTATGAAATGGTGAGGTGGCATTTTCACATCATTGGGTGGCTGAGTCACATACAGCCTGACACACACCCACACACGGAGTTGGACACGGCCAAGGCCAGCAACGTCCAGAAACGGAATGTTTTATTGAAGTTAATACGAATACGAATGCAAAATGGGCGTTTGTTGGATGTTAGCAACAAATTCAGGAAGATTTCGTGTTGCTGTGTTTTTTCTTGCTTCCCCTTCCCCAAAACATGCTCCAATGTAGGTCACGCAGAGGATTCTTGCAAAGCCTTGTCAAGTCTTGCTTCAACAGTCAACGCGAAAACCGAAACCTTAAGCACCCAAAGACGCGATGATCAGACAAATTCGTTCAAGAAGCACTGGCCACAAAACCCGATGTTCTACCAACCAGAAGCCCCTTAAACCTTCGAAACCTTCAAGCCTGCAATGCCAAATGGAGGCTCTAGTCTTTTTAGAGGGCACCCCCCCCCCCCCCCCCCCGACATATTGAGGCAAACGTCGGCTACGTGGGCTTTCCCGGATGGGAGGCGCTCTCTGTCGCATGGGCCGGCAAGGGCCTCTTGGCTCCTCTTGGATGCTCAAATTCTGGCTTGAATTTTTGGGCCCAAAGCAGGCTTCCAGGCTTAGGAGGTTCGGGACTCAAAGCAAGTCGAAAAAAGGAGGGGGTGGGGGTGGGGGGTTGCCGAGTTTCGAGTTTAGAGGTTTAGCGAGTTTAGAGGTTTAGGTTTTTGGGGCTCGTGGCTCGTAGGATGCAGGGCTTCCGGGCTTCCGTTTGATCCATGACGGTTTGGGCGGTTGAGGCGGTTTGAAGTTCCGGGAGGGCCGAAGCCTACCACAGTGCACAGCTGTCGCGAGGAGAAACTGCTGGGAGGGGTAGTTTCATGGGCTCCAATTATGGGTTCTGATGTATGTGCCCTTAATTTGTACATATACCATAAGGGTCCCCTTTAAGGGCCCCATACTAAGGGACCATGTAACTACCCTTAGAACGATATTCAAGGCTGAGGACCGAGAGCAAGCCTTGTGATGCCACTCGAGACCAGCTCAGCTCGACTTGCAACCGTGTGAGGAAGTTCACCGACGTATCGTGCTACGAGTACGCGTGCTAGGCTGCCCACAAAACCAGGGCTAGACGACAGGGTCTGCTCAGGATCATGATGCCTTGCAGATCTGCCAAGATGCTGTGCGCCGAACCCCCGAAGTTGAGGTAACAGCAACTACCGCGCCTACTCCCACCTCATGGGGCCCAAAGACAGCCAGAATCTGGGGGAGCATGCTGCTTGGCTTGCTGAACGACTCTCTCTCTGACTCAACCCTTCTGAGTGCTCAGCGCTCAGGCACCACAGACAGACCCCACAAAGTCGCTCTATGGGCCTCTGAGCCTGGGCCCAGGTCCATCTGGGCCCTAAACCCTACGAAGCCCTCAACTCTCCACCCCAATGCAGAGCAGCTCTGTCTTATTCTCCTCGGCTTCTGCTTTTTTGGGGACCCGGTAGTTTCGGGATGGTGCTGGGCCGAGTTACTTCTTGCTTGCTGACTTCTCGGGTTTGGCGTTGATTCGGCGTACTGTAGGTAAAGGCTTTTGGGCTTTCCCGTGGGTTCGAAGCTTCTAAGCCGACACCTGTAAAGCTTCGCTCTGCTGAGCCTAAACCCTAAACCCTAAACCCTAAACCCTAAACCCTGAACCCTGAACCCTAAACCCTAAACCCGAAACCCGAAACCCGAAACCCGAAACCCGAAACCCGAAACCCTAAACCCTAAACCCAAACCCTAAATACCCTAAACTCTAAACCCTAAACCCTGAACCCTAAATACCCGAAACCCTAAGCCCCACTTCTGAAGCCTGTTCTCAGGTCGATCTTGCCAGCCTTCGCCAGTCGCTTGGCGCACGGCAGCCTGTGAACCCAACCCCCCAAAGCCCAAACTTCAGGATTTTCAGGGTTCAGGGTTTGCAGGGTTCAGGGTTTAGGGTTTAGGGTATCAGGGTTTAGGGTTTAGGGTTTAGGGTTTAGGGCTTAGGGTTTAGGGTTTAGGGTATCAGGGTTTTCATAGGTGTCCCACTCAACTCAAGCCCGGTCCTCCAGCAACCCGCTCGTCGGCCATATCCTCGATTCCTAGACAGAAAACCATGGCTAAGCCATCCCTTGCCTCCCAGAAATCGCAAAGTCTAAGCCGGCTGGAGCAGGGCGTTGACTTGTCGTTTTTGCCAGTTTCCTTCAAAGTGTTCTGCTGAAGAGAGAAGGGTAGAAATGGTTTGCAAAGGACGTGCTTGCCCGTGCAATCCTTGATCATGGCTCTGGCCCGCCCTGGATGGACGGCAGCCAGCAAATTCTTCAGAATGCATCCAACATTTGTTTCCCTAAGCCCTAAACCCTAAACCCGAAACCCTAAACCCTAAATGGATCCAAGGCTTGAGAGCGACTCTCTCGGAGTTTTTCACCGTTGATAGCAGGGAGCCGGCCCTTAAGACACCGAGGGCAGATGCCAAGCAAACTCAGAAACCCTTCAATCCCAAACCGAAACCCCAACCAGCATAGCACACCGAGGGCCCTAGGGGTGGTCAAGATAAGGGATTCGCACCTTGGGTGTTTAGGGTTTAGGGTTTAGGGTTTAGGGTTTAGGGTTTAGGGTTTAGGGTTTAGGGTTTAGGGTTTAGGGTTCTGCAACTTCGGGCTTTGTATCCGAGGGTTGAGGGCTTAGGGGCCGCAAGGGCGCCAAGCCCTGGAAGCCCGAAGCTGGATGTTGGACCCCGAGGTTGAGCGGAATCGAACTCCTCCGTACAGTTCGGACGATGTGCCCGACGCCCATCGCGGGTTTGGGATTCAGGATTTAGGGTTTAGGGTTTAGGGTGGACTCCTTTGGATAATTTTCTTGGGATGGTGCCGGATGGGGTGATGTTTTGAGGATGATTCTTAGGACGCGGGGCGGGGTGGGCCGGAAGCAAGACAACCAAGCACCAAGGAGTAAAGACATGATCCACACATTTGCGAAGTCCCAGCGGTTGATTCTTAGGGCCGGCGCCTAAGGGTGCAGATATGTTAGTATGGTGAACCCTAAACCCTAAACCCTAAACCCTAAACCCTAAACCCTAAACCCTAAACCCTAAACCCTAAACCCTAAACCCTAAACCCTAAGGTGGAAGGCGGATCCTGGCCTTTCGGGCCAGGTTAGCACATGCTTCGGATAAGTGACTTTGGTCATAGACGGAGAATGTGCGCAGGCAGTCCGCTGAATGTGCAGGCGATCAAGGATGGCCAAGAAAAACAGAAGAAACTGTGGAAATCATGGACAAAAGGTATCCTAATTTAGGTTCTACGCCCCTTACCAATAGTGAGTGTACTGGGTAAGGGGGTCCCGCCTTGTAGCATGTGAGCTGCGCCGATGACCCTACCCAGCTACACAGGCTCCATGGCGCTGCCCTTGAAAACAGCTCCTTCCTACCTGAGACCCAAACCTTAAGCCCTGAACTCTAAACTCTAAACCCTACACCCTAAACCCTGAACCCTTGTCGATTTTGCTTCCTGATGGCAAATCAAGTCTACGCCCACGTCGACGTATAGGTTTGCCAGGGCTTTGCGTCCCAGACAAAGAAATACTTCAATATTCCAAGTCACGAAGGTTTAACTGATGCTGCGAAGCTTGAGGGGCGCATGCCTATTCAAGAGGTCCAAGCGAGACTGGGATTAAATGAGAAGATGGCCTCAGAAGCTCTGAAGGCACACTTCGTTAAACCCTCCAAAGCCAGAATCAATCGGCATTTAACCCTAAAGCCTGAACCCGAAATCTGCAGCCAAAAGCCGAAATCACCAGGTCTTTCAAGGGCCTCGGTTGAGTGATTCCGCCGACGCAAGACTCTGAAAGGTGACTGTCTCGAGAGAAACGGCCTGGAAGAAACCTCCAAGCTCAGGCAGGGAGTACCTGCGTAGGGGTTTGGCCGGCTTGTGATGAGCTGCCGGTTTAGGCAATGACGGGGTTCAGGCTTTGGTAGTTAGACGAGCAAGTCAGATGCATGAAGAATGCTTAGGGCTTGCTGGGCTTCGGGTGTTACAGGCATTTGTGGACTTGCTTTGCGGCTTAGGGGGTTGCGATCCCTCTTTTGCACGCTGGAAGTAGCTGAAGCTTGAAAAGCAGCCCCCTAAAGACGTAGTTCTCAAGGTCCCTTTTTGGGTCCCGATTCTGTACGGCGCGCTGAAAAACGGACCCCAGAAAGGCCAATTTAGAGACTTGGCACTCAGCCATACCGCAACTGGGCTAAAAATGGAAACCTTGCTGCTCCTGCAACCTCCGTCTTGCATCCGAAACCCACAAGCACAGATGCCGGCTTTGGGGTCTAGCGCTTATCTTCTGAAGCCCACAGGCTGTGGCCTCAAATCTGCCAAACCCCCAACTTCACAGCCTCAAGTTAACCAGAGCCCTCCCCTCCAAACCCTGATCCCGAAGCCCTTTGCGCAGGATCGGTGCACTGATTGAGGATGTATTCCTCTGCCAGTTCCCGCCCGATCACAGCGGGTGGATGGATCTGGAGTTCGCTGCTGGACCCTAACAGTCGGGATTTGTGATTTTATTATCTTTTTTGAAATTCTTTTAGTGATTTTAGTGTTCCTATGTGCTCTTTGATCAAACTCCGCGTGTTGCGAGAATGAATGGCTTGCAAGGGGTTTTTGTGGCTGGGGTTTTAGGGTTCAGGATTTTGTAGACACATCCCAAAGACCCTAAACCCTAAACCGAAAACCCTAAACCCTAAACCCCAAACCCCAAACCCTAAACCCTAAACCCTAAACCCTGAACCCTGAACCCTGAACCCTAAACCCTAAACCCTAAACCCTAAACCCTAAACCCTAAGCCCTAAGCCCTAAGCCTTAAGCCCTAAACCCGAAGCCGAGGACATGGCCCTGCAGAAGGAGGTTCTGCAGATCCTCTGGCGCCCCGGTACGGCAGTGAATGGGGTTGAGGTTGCTTGGGGTTCGGGGTTGGGTTGACTCCTCCTGTGTGTGCTGGATGAATAGAGGGGGGACGGAGACGGACCTCAAGGCCCTGTTTAGGGCTTGGGGTTTAGGGTTTAGGGTTTAGGGCTTTGGGTTTCGGGCTTAGGGTTTAGGGCTTAGGGTTTCCTCACTTGCCCCGCTTGTCTTTTGGGGTGACAAGCGTGCATGCTCGCATCTTCTCCAGTGCCGTTGGCGCCAGCGACGTTTTGTATCTGATATGACACATTTGTTGGTAAAGCAGGATCCGAAACGCAGAGGCAGGTACGCCAGGCAAGTAGTAGAAACACATTATCGATGGACTTGCCAAGATGCGTGACAACTTTGCAGATCCATGATCATATCACCGTTCCCCCTGCAGCGTGTCATCTCTCTCATAGCTGTGAGACATCAGAGCTTAGGATAGGTTGAGTTCATGCCTGAACAGGTGGCAGTTCACGCAGCCAAGACATCAAGATCAGCAGTGCATATATTCCTTGTGTCTTTCAAGGGGTTGATGGCAGGGTACTCGGGTGCCGATGCCACTGTGCAAGCTACAAATGACAGCTCCATAGTGAGCAAGGCGAGCACGGCAGCAGCAGGCTATTTTGAGGATGGGTTTGTGGGCCACGTCGCAATTCGCGGACCCAAAGGACGCTTGATTCGCAGATCACCCTTGGTGCACAGATGTTACTATGTTCGTCATCTCGGCGTCTTCCAGATGCAAGAGATGTTTCTCCGAAGCTGCGTCTCCCCAGGTGATGCGTACAACGTGGTGGTCCTCGGGGCTGGTTTTGACACTGGCGCCTTGCGCAGGAGCTGGCCCCAGGGCCTTCAAGGCTACTTCGAGGTAGATTTTCCGGCCGTGCTCCAGCGCAAAGAAGCTTTGTTGAAGCAGGCGCAGGTCCTGAGGCCAGGTTGGCTGCACATTTGTGGCGCGGACCTCCGCGACGCACTGGAAGTGGAAGCGTCCTTGCGGGGAGCGGGTGTTGATTTCACAGTACCAACACTCCTGATTACCGAGGTCGTGCTGGCATATATGGAAGCCACTGAGGGAGACAACCTGATAGCCTGGGTGGCAAAGGCTTTTCCGAACTGTCTCTTCGGCGTATACGAGCAAATCGGTCCCCATGACCCTTTTGGCCGATTCATGCGCAGACACTTTTCTCAGCGACAATGTCCCTTGAGGGCCTTGCTTGCGAATCCAGACTTGGAGTCTCAGAGAAGGCGGTTCCGCGCGTTCGATCGCGTGGATGCTGCTGATATGATGTCCATCCTCGGTGCAGCTCCGGCAGATGAGCTCAATCGCGCCTTCCACCTCGAAGCGTTTGATGAGTTCGAGGAGTTCCACTTGAAGTGTTTGCACTACTTCTGTCTGGCAGCCATGTCTGGCACGTGTACCAGAGCCAAGGAGTACTGGAAGGCAGTTCCAAGCTCTTCGGAAGGGTTGATATCAATGCCTGTTGATGCCGTGGATCTTTCTGTCCCACGGTTCGGGCTTGCTGCGTCTTACTGCTCGGGACATCTCGTGGTGTCTGGCGGGCAAGGCACCTTGAATGCGACCACTTCTGATGCACCTCATGGCCGCCAAGTATCGATCATGGCTATGAAGCTTGAGGCGTCGCCCTTCAAAGCCTGGGCGTCTGAACACATTGGCGAGCATGCAGCTGCGATGTACTGCACATCCACCGCCGTCAACGACCAAGTCTTTGTCTTTGGAGGTCGACTCGCACCTCAACGCCCTAGTGCGGCCCTGAGCATCTGCACATTAACAGACTCGGGACCCTCGATCCAGCAAGTGCGAGTGCCCGAAGATGCCCCGTGGCCTGCTGCGCGATGGCGGCACACAGCCACCAAAATTCAGCTGGGAGGGCATGGCCTGCTTCTTCTGGGAGGCATCGGAGAAGCGTTGGAAGCTCTGAGCTTGGAGGAAGCATGGTTTCTTGATGCCGCGTCTTTGACTTGGCACCAGCTCTTGGTGGAGCCTGCGCCTGACGGCTCGTTTCCTGTTCCTCGGCATTCTCATGCCGCGGCGCTTGCTTCTGGAGGCGTTCTTATTTGTGGTGGTCTCGACTCCAGGGAGCAAAGTCTGGGTGACGCGTGGACCTTGCACATTTCAGAGCCCTGCACAGGCGACGCTGATGGAAGCCAGGAAAACTCGCCGGCCAGAGCGGCCAGAGGCGTCAAGGATCGTTTCCGACTCGCGTGGCGCCAGGCCTCGAGCCCTTTGCCGCGCCCGCGCTACGGCCACCACCTTCACGAATACCTCGGGCATCTATATCCCCCTTGGGAAGTATTTTTTCATGTTTTTAAAATATCAAACCCTATTTTTATCAAGGTTCTAAGGGGAGTACAGGCATTTCATCGTCCTGGGGGGCATCGAAGCGGCCGAAGCCACCGAAGCAACCTTCAGTGGATCGGGGACACCGCCCATCTTGGCCTTTGGAAAGTCCTTCTCCGCAAGCTGCGGCGCCATGAGGGATGGTGAGCCGGAGATCTTCATGTGGCACAATTTGGCCTCCGTCATGCTGGGAGACACCGGGCTCCTGCTAATCCTGGGGGGCGGAGGCAACTGCTTCTCCTTCGGGACGCACTTGAATCAGTCAGCAAGGCTTCTAGATCTGAGGGAGCTCAGTAGACGAGCAGAAGTTGCAGTGTGAGACCCTTATGTGCGTAATGCTTTGGGCGTTGCGCGCTGGGGCTTCGCGACGAGAAGCTGCCCTGCAGCCTTGATGTACAGCCTCAAAACCCTGACTGCTCCTTCCATTCTGAAAAGGGCACGCATGAAATGCGCACAAGGGTGCAGGACAACAAAGTTGTGTGATAACACCTACGCAACAGCTCCACATGCTTCGAAACAAGTTCAGTAGGCGGAAGAACCCTAAACCCTGGATGGGTTCAGAGCCCGGGGTCTTCAAACCCGGGAATCCTAGACTAAACTTCTCGTGCCGGCGAGCTCCTGTTGTGAGAATACCTACGGCTACATGCTCTGTTGCCAAAAATGCCCGGAATACTCCTGTGGCAACTACTGCTGCGTGCCGTGCTTGTAGGGCGCAGCACTCCGGACTCATACCCCCCGCGCCCCCGAATGGCTGAAATGCAAAGGACCCAGACGGCCAAAAGCCATGAAAGCCCCAAAACTAGCAAGTCCTGCTTTTTTCTCAATAAGAAGCTTGAAAACTGCATCCTCTCTCCCTTGAAAGTCCGCCGAAAGCAGTCAACAAAGCTCAAAAAAGCTTAAGCTCGACAAGGCGCCTGGCGCAGCACTACGTGTCGGCGGTGGCCTCGTCCACCACGCCCAGGAGCCAGCTGGCAGCGCAGGTGCTTACCATGAGGTGGGCAGCCGGGGCAATGAGCGCTGTCAGGCTGATTCCTAGGGGCACTCAAGTACAAGTAGCAAGCAGTAGAAGAGAGACAGTGACGGAGAGAGCGAGAGAGAGAGCGAGAGAGCCCCTCCGGGGCGGCCTCCTCCTACTGGGGGGGGGGGAGGGGCGCATGCGTGCAGAGAGAGAGAGAGAGAGCGAGACAAAGGCGTTTGGTTGTTGGGGACAGGCAGGAATGAAAACGGCCCGAGAGCAATGCGGCGAGTGCATTGTCGAACAGCGACCGAGTGTCCTGTCTGCTGTGTAGAGTCTGTGAGACGCCGACCGGGGCGGGCCTTGGCGCGGGCGGCGACCCTCAAGTCCCAGAAAAGAAAGGACAAGAGACAACTCGGCGGGCCCGAGGGCGGGAGAGCGAGAACGCGAGAGATCGAGAGTGAAGCCTGCGGGCGGTTCTTCTTCACAGTTTAGAGTGCAGAGTTTAGGGTTCACATTCGCTTGAACCTTGTGATTGTCATGTTGGTTCACGTTCGAAGGGTGGATAAGATTGCCGTTCCATGTGCGTCAACATGAGTAACCACGCTGTATCTATCCCACGCTGGGTCGCACGAGAGAGTAGCCGCCAACCCCAACCCCAAACCCTAGACCCTCAAGTGAACCCCCGAACCCTAGCCAAAACGCTTAAAGTCCTCAAGCCTTCAAGTTCTTTTCCCTGAAGCCCCTTCTGTTCGACGCCATGAACCTCGAAGTTTGCAACATCTCAAGCCTGAAGCCTGGGCGTTTGCTTTCCAAGCCGCCCTTATGCAGTGGAGGTGTCTGCATGTCGCCTACGAGACCGTCATGAGGACGGTATAGGGCTCGTGTCAGGCCCGTATTTTTCTTGACGACTCTCCGCTTTCTTGAAGAGAAGAAGAGGAAAAAACGGAAACGCGTAAGACTCGATGCGTTGCATAGGAAGACAAAAGTGTTGTTCACCTGTGTTTCTCTGCTGATGACATTCCGGCAGTCCGGTGAGGGTTTGGGAAGGTAGGTAGGGGGTAGGGAGGTAGGGGAGCGGTGCAGGTAGGGGAGGCGGCGGGTACGGGGGGGGGGGGGGAGGGCCACGGGAGCATTCTGATCATTTCAACCCAACGCAAGCCCTTGAAATCCATGCCTACTTCCATCCATGAGCCCTTCTCAATCTATATACCCTCTGTGAGCCCTCAGCCCTTTACAGCATAAGGGGGCTTGCGGGGGTAGTGTGCGCGGTGAGAGCAGGGTCTGAACCCTTTGGAGGGCGGAGGGTATGCCGGCTAATGATTCAAGTGTGGTCTTGGTGGACCCTCAGCAGCTTGCGCCGAAACGCAGGCGTGCAGCCCTGCCTTAGTGAGGTGGCATTTTCGGTCCCTCCCCCTTCAAAAAGAAAGGGTCAAGAAGCAAAACATAGTCAAGCTTCCCAGTACTGTCTCCCCCCCGAACATAACCCAATGCTGCAGGAGAGCGGCGTCTGACGGCATGCTCCCCACAACCCAGGCGATCCTCACGCCCGGTGGAGGAGACGACGTGGATGCATTCAGGCGCGGAGGACACTCAGACGTCAGCTTATGTTCCTTCGGGTGCCGTGACCATTTCATCGGCATAGGGGCGCCAGAAGCACTCGGCAGAAACGACCTCTGGTATCATGCAGCACATGCCAGAACCACATGACACAGTATACTTCCTTGCCAATTCAGGGTAAGTCCCTGGACAAGCGTCTTGGTTACGGGAGGATGTCTAGGTGGAGGTTTCCCTTGAGTTGCGCGGGCTGGAGCTCTGGGTATGGCAGAAGGTTGAACCCTGGAACCCTAAACCCTAAATCCTAAACCCCAAACCCTAAACCCTAAACCCTAAACCCTAAACCCTAAACCCTAAACCCTAAACCCTAAACCCTAAACCCTAAACCCCCCGAACAGACCCCGCTAGGCCGATGTGGAGCTTCGGCGGCGACGCCGACCTGAAGGTCGCGGATTTGTGACTGCAGGGGTCGGAATTGGGGATGTTCTCCCCTTATACTAACCAAGGGTTTAGGGTTTAGGGTTTAGGGTTTAGGGTTTAGGGTTTAGGGTTTAGGGTTTAGGGTTTAGGGTTTAGGGAGTCCTTAATGGATTTGGGATGTTCCCCCCTTGGGTTTATGGGTTTGAGAATGTAGGGTGTTTAGGGTTTAGGGTTTAGGTTGAGGGTTCAGGGTTGGGATGTTCCCCCCCTTAAACTGGCAGTTCTTAATGGGGACTAGTACCCCCTCCAAATCAAGGACTGTTAAACTGTTGGTACAAGGGGGGAACATCCCAAGTCGGCATAGTTGCGAATATTATTCCTTGACGGTCCCCTTCGGATTATTCTAGTCATTAAGGCCCCTTAGGTGATTCGAAATGAAGGGCTTTCTTGGTAGCACAGTGGTGCCCTTTCACTTTTTTTGGTTCAAGGTTCCCGTATGCAGGAACCAACCTAAACAAGGGTGCCTTTAATATAATGTGGTTACTGGGCCACCAAGGGGATTCGTAATGAAGGGCTTCAGAGTTTGCCGGGTTTAAGGCGGGCCAGAGGCGGGCCTCAAAGCATCCCAAACCCAAGCCCTGAATGAAGCGACTCCCTCGCTTCATCGGCCCAGACGATACAAACCGAAACCCTGAACTTTGGGCTTCCCCAAGGAGTTTTGGGGACGCTTACAAATTTGGGTGTCTTGGGATTGCGCGAAGGCCTTCAAACCTTTATGGGGGTTTCCGAGATTAGGGGCACCTTATTGGGGTCCTTATTATGGGATCCTACGATCTGGGAATCTATATTCAGGGTTCCCTATGTTCGTAAATCCATTAAATATAAAGCATTGCAGATCCCGAAAGCCCAAGTCAACCTCGGGCTGCACAAGTGGTTTAGGGTTTAGGGTTTAGGGTTTAGGGTTTAGGGTTTAGGGTTTAGGGTTTAGGGTTTAGGGTGCTTTGGTTTGGTAGGCCGGTGGTACCCTTTTCCCTTCTTCTGGTTCAAGGTTCCGTCATACAGTAGCCAAACCCGAAAAGGGTGCCCTTGTTATAACATGGTTACTGGGCTACCTAGCCCTAAGCCCTAAACCCCAAGCCCCAAACCCCAAACCCCAAACCCCAACCCCCAAACCCCAAACCCCAAACCCCAAACCCCAAACCCCAAACCCCAAACCCCAAACCCTAAACCCCAAGCCCTAAACCCTAAACCCTAAACCCTAAACCCTAAACCCTAAACCCTAAACCCTAAACCCCAAACCCCAAACCCTAAACCCCAAGCCCTAAACCCTAAACCCCAAACCCTAAACCCTAAACCCTAAACCCTAAACCCAAACCCTAAACCCTAAACCCTAACCAACCCTAAAGAGGGCCGCAGCGCAGCCTCGGCAACCGAGTCGCTGCCACTCTCCACACCGCACCTTGCGGAGGCCCTTCGGCTCCTTTCTTGGGATGTCCCCTTCGGGTTTAGGGTTTAGGGTTTAGGGTTTCGGGTTTCGGGTTTAGGGTTTAGGGTTTAGGGAGCTTGTAGTACTAACAGTCCTTAATGAAGGTGTAGGAAGTGGGTTTTTCATTCAGGGTGAGTAGGACAGCCATGAGCTGGACTTCTTGAACCCGAGAGCTTGCTGTACCCAAGCGGGGCCACGTAGTTGATTTGGGCTTGACAGATTTCAGAGAGTTAGGGCCTATAATCAGGGTTCAGGGTTGCGCTGCTTCTTGCTTACCTGTGGCCCGCGGCATGAAGTTACAACCCTCCGACAACCCAGAGTCCTTGCTATAAGGGTGCCACATGTGGGCCCGAATCTACGAGATCTTGCAGGCGTCGCGATTTTGGCTTCAGGGAATCCCGGTACAAAAACCCACAAGTAAACTCAGCCCTTCATCCTGCGCCGAGCTCGTGCGGCCCTGAAGCATGACTCTCCACCTCCATGGTAGGCAGTCAGTGGATCCCGTCCCCCAAATAGAAGGATTCTCTAGAGCAAGGGCCCCAACAAGGTACCCCCATTTTCGGAAACCCCCACATGGTTGCTGGGGCCACCCTAAGCCCTGAGCCCTAAACCCCAAACCAAGAGACAGCAGACTCCCTGCAGAGGCCCGGGATGCGCTTCAGCGACACCCGCTCGGTGGCGGCGCAGGCGGCGACTGCGCGTGGGACGCCTCGCTGTGGCATGGCTTTGAAGCCTTCCCCCAGAGGACTGAGTTTGGGGGTTTACCATATTTGGGGTACTTCATTGGGGTCCTAGTTATTGGGGGATCCTTCTAGTTGGGGGTGTAGAGCGCTGACGTAGCGCATTGTTCATGTAAGAGTACAAATCACGTCACCCTTGTCTCACCCTCATCGCATCGACCTCCGGCCGCATCACCCAAAATAGCCGTTCCAAAATAAACAGGCCTCTGTACGTTTCAAGTACGGATTGCGAACGGCTCTCTTATCTACCTCTCTCATGGACTTTCGCATGGTGAAACTATCTAGCTTCTTCAGGGGAGAGAGAGACAGCTCAAAGCTATGAGTAGCAAGGCATCTGAGCTTTTTGTTGTTGTTCAGACTTGTGGTTTCAAGGGAGGCCTACTCGGACCCCAGAGGATGAGCCCCTAAGAGGTTCCCTCAGAGTGTGCTCCTATCAGGCAGTTCGATTTCCTGAGAGAATCTTTAGAAACTTTGTCATAGTTGGGTAACATTTTTACATTCTTAAGGGTACTTAAACCCAATAAGGAATATACACTTAAATTTTTAATATTATCCCAACAATGAACAAGGAAAGGGTCCCCCAAACCATGAGGTTTCCAAGCCGTGAATCCATTGCTGCGCCTCTGGCTTCGGCTTCCTGCTTCTCTCTCTGAGAAAACCCTGGTTTCCTCTTGAAGCGCAGAACTCCATCTTGAAGAATACACACACAAGGGGTTTTTCGTGTTGAAGGATTGGGTTTAGGCGACCTGCCTGCCCCCCAAATCCATAACCTTGAGCCCCAATCTCTAAACCCTGACCCCTACCCTTAACTCCGATCACCAGGTGCCCCCAGAAGTATGACGCGCGGTCGCTGAACTCCACGCGGGAGCCTCAGCAAGGGGTGGCTTTGCAGTGTGCCTCAAGTCTAAGCCCTAAACCCACGTTCCTGAACCATAGGGGCCCAAACCCCAAAAGCCCTGCTAAACCCCAATCACGAACAGCACCAAAAGCGGGAACCCTGACGAACTATAAAGCCCAAATCACGAAACAAAAACAACCAAATCGCACAACCATATAGACCCCCGGGCTCTAAACAAATCCAAGCCGCAAAATGCTGCAACCCCAATCCCAGCAGCCTAACCCCTAAAGACCCTAAAACTAAACCCTAACCCCTAACCCCTAACCCCTAACCCCTAAACCCCAAACCCCAAACCCCAAACCCTAAACCCTAAACCCTAAACCCTAAACCCTAAACCCTAAACCCTAAACCCTAAACCCTAAACCCATCACTTGGAAGCCGGGAGCCCGAGGCAGCAGCTAGTCACAGACCTGGTCAAGAAAGTGCTGAGAATCCCGGGCAACGTCCTCCCACCCGGACATAGCGAGGACTACGGGGGTGCGAGGGGCTAGAGTTTGGGGTTTAGGGTTGTGGGTAAGAGGTATCGTACCGACACACTGACGTGCCTTAATGTGTTCGAAAACCGGGTGTAATTGCGATCTGTTTCCGGTCGGATGCCTCTCGTCAGACACTGTCACGACAGGAGTTGGCGAAACCCCGGGAGCTGGACCACAAAAACCTCATCACTAAATCTCCGCGGGGATTGAGTGTGTGTGTTTAGGGCTTGCGAATTCGATTCTGTCTTGAGGGTTTAGGGTTTAGGGTTTAAGGTTCCGAAGTTGTGCCCTAAGCCCGCGCTTCTTGGTTCCTGGCAAGGGCATCCAGGCATCCCCGACTGCACCAGACTCATCCCCAAACCTGACACTGCTGAACCTTGCATGTGCCACGTGTTGTCATTGGGCTCTTGAAGTTCGCAAAAGCCTTGCAAGTCGTCCAAATTGCCAGGAGAGGCTTGGGGTTCGAAAGGAACACAGAAGCCAGCAGAAGCGAACCGGTACAGCCTTTCGGGCCCTAGCCCGATGGCAAGCCATGGGAGGGGAGCCTCCCAGGCAGGGTTGCCCCATCAGGCTGTGGGGATTTTCATGTCTGAAGAAGGGTATATATTACTGTTTCTGGTGAGTGTATATAAGGTTCCTTTTTAATATTGGTGAGTGTATATACCGGGTGTCCTTTTGGGGGTACAAGAAATATAAACCCTATTGCATGTACTCTTGCAGGACTGGCCCAAGTGGACGGTTCCCCTTGGTTGGGCCTTGAACTCCAACGGCCCCATCAGGCAGCCTCAGGGCGTTGATGCAATTTTTGGGGTTTAGGGTTTCGGGTTTAGGGTTTGTGTCCTCTTGATGATTTCGATAGTGGGTGTATTCCTCACAGCGCCAAGGGTGCCAAAAGGGTCCACAGTTTAGATCAAAACCGCGTGTCGGGGGGTTTGGGGGGGTTAGGCAAGTTGCAGCCAAGAATCTTCAGGCTTTGAAGTTTCAGGGTTCAGCTAAGGATTAACTCTATATTCGTGCAACTGTAACCTGGTAGTCGGTGCGTGCAGGTAAGCCCCGCACGAAATTTGACAGGCACCTAGACCCGAACTCCATCGGAAGTGTCGGCTGTGATATATGCTCCATGCCTCCTTCAGTACTGCGCCGGAAAGTCCTTTGCCTCAAGCCCTGTGCGTTGGCACTGAAGCCCCAAACGCACTAAACCCCGAGCCGTCAAGCCCGAAATGAAGAGAAACACGAATCAAAACGCGATAGTCTTTTATATGTAACAAGTCAGCGAAGAATCACACCGGAAGGGAGAAGGCTCCAGAGTTCTATTGGTGGCGCGACCTTGTGGCGACCCTGCCGGCAGAATGAAGGGGCAGGACATCATCATAGGGGTGTCGAGGTTGCCGCAAGTCCTACAATCCGGAGAGGGGCTTGTAAGGTCCGTGGTTTACTGGTCGAGTATTGGGAACCCAAAATCGAAACAGCTTAGCAGCGCAGATTTTCTGGCGTAGCTCGGTAGGCCTTTGGGACATTTTATATTTTCCCATATTTGGTTTAAGAGGACCATCTTCAGGAATATTTTTCAGATGGTTTTAAGGGCCATCCTAGGTAGAACTTAGACGTTTAGCTGGGGTTGTATTCCCATTACGTTTAGCGTTGGCTTTGGGTTTGTGGTGTTTAGGGTTCTGGTTCAAGGTTAAGGGCTGGGGTTCTCTGTGCCGTCTCAAGCACCACCCTCAATCCGAGCTGCTCGTCTCCCACCCAACTGGCTTGGGCTTCTGCTGCCCCACCCGACTGGCTAGCGTCTGTTTAGGATGCAGCGAAGACACCCTGGCCCTTCATACTCTGAATGGGAAGCACCCGAAGAACCAAACCCGAAGGCCCAATCGAAGCAACTCCGCTGAGGTTTGGTGCAAGTACATCTGCCTGGATCCTCAGTGCAGGTGCTCCGACGAAAGCTTTGACAAACAGCGCGGGTCGAGGGTTTATGCTGTGCTTGAGGCGCGAACTGACCCAGCATTGTTAAACCACAAAAGTCCTAGAGCCTTAAAGTCCTCATCATCCCAGAAATCTCAAGGAGCTTGCAGTTAGCAGTTAAGCCCGGCCATCCTTGTTTGCACTGCGTTGGCTTTGAGGGTTGGCTTGGAGGCCTCGCCCGCCCCACCCCCCCCCGGAACTGGCAGCCCCCCAACCCCCATGCCCCTCGCGCCGACCCCCCCCCCCCCAGAACCTGAGCCCGAAAACCCTGAAGCACCCCAAAGTCCCAATCACCAACGCCTCAATCAAAGCTTAAAGTCTTAGCGCTCTGAAGACTGAAGCCCTGAACGATCAGAAGCTTCTGTTTGCCAAAGCAATGCGCCCTGAGCCAGGCAGTTCAAAGGAGTTTGGAACGCCAACGATGCGCAGATTCGGTGGTCGGTTGGCTACTGCCAACCGTGCGAGATCTTGAAGGCCGAGCAACCCTGAACCTGAAAAGCCTTTGCCCTGGGTTGCGAGATCCTGACCAAAGGGACTTAGGACTTGAAGGGTTGAGTTGAGGGTTCAGGCTTGGGCCTATTTTATTTCAAGGGCTTCTGGGTTGTTTCGGGTTTCGGGTTTGGAGATGCTGCTCCGCCAGCGTGCTTGGCAAATGCCATTGGTGGGGAGTGGTGGGGTCGCGCATATGCTCCCAGGCAGGTTTAGGGTTTTAGGGTTTAGGGTTAAGGGTTTTGGGGGGGAAAGGTATCGGGTGCAAGGGTTTTTGTATGAGGGGGAGTTAGGTTTTCGGATTAAGGGCCGTAAATCTATGATCCGGGGAGAAGAAGCAGTCACATAGGAATCGTCAGAGGTTGGGGACACTACTCCGGATTTTGATATATTGGCCTTGGGCCCCAGGACTTTTTCTTACGACATGCCCGAACCTTTGTGGGAGTGAAGGGTTCTGGCACGGGACGCCTTTGGCAGGCCCAGATGCACGCCTTCAACATCAAGTTCGACATGCTAAGCAAAGGTGCGCCCCTGCTCGTCTAGGGTTTAGGGTTTAGGGTTAGGGTTTAGGGTTTAGGGTTTAGGGTTTAGGGTGTAGGGTGCAGGGTTTAGGGTTTAGGGTTTAGGGTTTAGGGTTTAGGGTTTAGGGTTTAGGATGTAATGACCCCAATTCAAACCCCAACACCTAAATCCGGAAACCTGAACTCCCTACAACCCTTGACACGTGGAATTCACGACCCCTCAAATCCACATACTTGTTCAGGCAAGGTCTTCCTCAACTGGGGCTGATCAAAGTTGATGCTTCTGAAGACGTACAGGGAAAGTAGTGGTCTTTCAGAGGGTATATTAAAGGTATGATTGGGATGTTCCCCCTTTTCCCAACAGTCCTTAACGGGGATTCTGATAGGGTTACTATAATTACTACTAAGGACTGTGAGTACAAGGGGGGACATCCCAAGGTCCCCATTTAAGGGCCCCTGTGAATCCCCCCCCGCCCCCCTTCCCCCCACTTCCTCCCCCCGCCCTTCCCCCCACCTTCCGCCCCCAAACCCTAAACCCTAAACCCTAAACCCTAAACCCTAAACCCTAAACCCTAAACCCTAAACCCTAAACCCTAAACCCTAAACCCTAACCCCTAAGCCCTAAGCCCTAATCCCTAAGCCCTAAGCCCTAAGCCCTAAGCCCTAAGCCCTAAGCCCTAAGCCCTAAGCCCTAAGCCCTAAGCCCTAAGCCCTAAGCCCTAAGCCCTAAGCCCTAAGCCCTAAACCCTAAACCCTAAACCCTAAACCCTACCGAGTTTTGGGTCCGTTAAAAACTAACTACTGGGAATGTATTGAGTGAACTTTGTATTTTCTCGATGTTATGGGTTTCTTGGGTGGGTGGGTTTTCTTTTCCAACGCTTGACAAGCTGCTTGACTAGTGAATGCTCGGACTTGAGATGCTGAACCCTAAACCCTAAACCCTAAACCCTAAGCCCTAAGCCCTAAACCCTAAACCCTAAACCCTCCCTAAACCCTAAACCCTAAACCCAAATCCCCCCCCCTCTCCCCCCACCTTCCGAGCTGCACCATGTAGTGGGTGCTTCGTAGAAATACCGAGCCCTGAGCGTCTGCAGTTAAGAGTGTGGGACTGAAGGGTTGGGGGCCCAAGAAACCGGGATTCATTCAGGGCTTAGGACTTAGGGGGATTTAAGGGCGTTGGGTGCAAAGTGTAAGTTTCTGGCCTTGGTTGCTTTCGGGGCGGTAAGCCTCAAGATCCCAAACTGCTTGCATCAGAGGCGACTGATGCGGGGGGTCGGTGACTCACAGCCAGTCTAGGGATCAGGGTTTCCCTCAGAAGCCAAAACCCTAAACCCTAAACCCTAAACCCTTAACCCTTAACCCTTAACCCTTAACCCTTAACCCTTAACCCTTAACGTTCGTCGGTTTCAGGCTTCGTGGGCGCCAGTGGCGCCGACCTGACGGCAGCGGGACTCAAGGCATCTAGCGGTGAGTTGTTTAGGGCCATTTGCCTTGGACGTACATACCCAGCTGAGACTTAAGTTGCCCCTAACCCTAAACCCTAAACCCTCAACCCTATCCCTCCTAAGCCCTAAGCCCTAAACCCTAAACCCTAAGCCCTCACATGAAACCTTGGGTCCCTCAGCCCTAAAAAACCCCAGCAGTCCGAAGCTGTGACAGGCATCAAATGCAAGCAATGGGCCTTGGGGAATGGGCCGGCCCTGTCCCACCCGAAAGCCGAAGAACTTAGCCCAATGACGTGAACCACACATTGGGATGTTCCCCCTTATACGAAGAGTCCTTAATAGGGATCATAGCACCCCCCTCCATCTCCCTACAACTGGTTTCGGGTTTATGGTTTAGGGTTTAGGACTGTTAGGAGAAGGGGGGAACATCCCAAACCACACTTGCACAAGGAACGAAGACGTGGGCCACCCACACCATTGGCATGATCTCCGGGCGGATCCCCAACACGCTCGGTAATTTAGGGTTTAGTGGTAATATAGGGTTTAGGGTTTAGGATTTAGGGTTTAGGGGTAATATAGGGTTTAGGGGTAATATAGGGCTTAGGGCTTAGGGGTCAGAATAATTATAATAGTATTCCCTTATTGTCCCTATATACTTGTACTGAAATAACCCCCAACACTGTTCTACTTATTCAGGCCCCAAGATTCCACGAAGCCCTGAGTAGCCCCTGGTTGCGCCCGAGGGAGGGGGGGGGGGGTGGGGTGACCAGGGGGGGGGGGGGGGGGGGGGGGGGGGGGGGGGGGGGGGGGGGGGGGGGGGGGGGGGGGGGGGGGGGGCGACCAGCTGATGCTGCCTGCAGCGTCCATGAACACAAGGGGTTGGGTAGTTAACTTTTAACCTTCTAAGTTCCATATTATTCTTTTTTGCAAATAAGCGGTTATTTTGTGGCTAGGGTATTCAGATTCTAAGAGCGTATCTGCAGTGTGTTCGTGCTTTCGGAAGGCGCACCAGTGCACGAGCATCGTCACGAATTGGGCTATCGCTTACGCAGACAGACTCATTCGTAGGGAGGCGAATCTCAAAGAAGCCCCGAGTTGTCCTTCAATGCTCAGCTGTGAGGGAAGAGGGGCATTACAGTCACACGCACGTTCTGCTGAACTTGCTGACGCTCGCCCCTCGGGATCCTGAAACCTGGGTTGCTCCCCCTGATTCCATCCAAGGGTTTTGGGGCCCTCTAAGCCCTGAGGCCTGGGACGGGGGCTGGGGTCCGGTTTTTAGGAATACAGGGAATAAGACTGCCAGCAGGGCGCTCACAGTGAAGACGACGTCATCCACGCCCCGACCTTGCCGGACTTCGGGAAGGACGGGGCCCGTCAGGTTAGTCCAGCTGTAGTGCCCCAAGCCTGAAGAAACCCCTAAATACTACCCAGGAATCGTCCCCAAACCCTCGAAACTGCAATATGTAAGAAGCTGTAGCCCCAAGACCTACCCCTGTAAAATACTGCGCGAAGTCTTACTCAAAGAAATCAAGCAACTTTAGTGTTTGGGTTGAGGGCTTTGGACGATCTTTCCATGCAAACAAGGTGCAGTTGGTTGGGCTGAGATGTCTTTTGCTCACAATCGGAGACGCCCTAAATCCTAAACCCTAAACCCTAAACCCTAAACCCAAAGCCCCCGACCCCAAGCCCTAAGCCCTACAAGCCCTAACCCTAGACCCTAAACCCTACACCCCGTAAACCCTAATCCCGCTGCATTGCTTGTGGGACGGGGGAGGGAGGTTGATGCTGAGGGGTGCTGAGCTGGGGAGTTGGTGGTTTGTTCGCCACGGTTTGGGTTTTGAAGCTGAAGTACAGCGATCGTGCTTGTTGCAGTTCCTGTCTGCCTAACATGGTGCAAGGAAACCTCTTCACCATGCTAAGGTTATTTGGGTTTAGGTTTTGGGGATTAGGGTTGTTAAAGGTTTAGGGGTTGGGGTTCGCCTACAGCAGGTCCTGAAGCCTTAATCCTTCGGGCCTTCGAGCCCACAAGGCCCGCACCAATCCCAAATTTCTGATGTCCAGGCCTTCGCGCAGGAGGAGGCGGAGCACGTGGCAGCCCCAGAGCCTCCCAAAGATCCTGGAGATAGGTTTTTGTCGGGATGCTTGGAAATCACTTTCAATTTTTGGGTACTTTTCATTCCTAAGAAACAGACAGATTTTAGTTTTTGCTTGCGTCCCAAGTGCAGCATAGTATTGTCCACCTTTGCTCCAGGGGCTCGGGGGGTTCAGGGTTTAAGGGAGCGGCTGAGGCTTCGGGATACGCCCTGCAAAACCCTCACGAAGACCGCCACAGATCTTTACAAGAGAGTTTCAGTGGGCTTGATTTTGGCTTGGAGGGGCAAGCCTGTCGGCCCTAAGGCTAAACCCGCCGACCTCGGCATAGACTTGTGCTTCAGGACTCAACAACAGGGTTTAGGAAAATTCATGGGCCCACGTAGCACACAACCACATCTCATCCCGCAAATCCGACATTGCTTGGGCGGAAGTCCTTGAAGCCTCAGCCTGGTAGTACCTTGGGTTTTGTTCAGCCTTTGAGGATAGGGCTTGGAGGCCGCTTAGAGTGTACGGTCGCGGGGTTGCCAGGCTGTGAGGCTCCAGGGTTCCCAAAAAGAAGCTGCCTAGGCAGCGCGCGCATCATGATGGTGTACCAGCAAGCTTCCCCCGAGTCTCGTCCCTTGAGCTGTGTATTACGGCCGACAACCTTAGAGCCGAAAACGCCCTAAACCTCAATGTTAGTTAACGGCCTGATACCATTAGACCTCTTTGGCAAACCCTGACTGAACTTAGACCCCAAACTTTCCAGTCCTGGCCTAGAGCCCACCCGCAAGGTCTTGAGCAGCCTCACTGTTCCCTACCTCCGGGTTCCGTTGCTGCTTCACTTCCTGGCAGCAGATCGCCTCCATGCGCTCAAGCAAACGCCGGGAGTCCTGGAGCTCTGTGCGTGTGTGGGTGGGGTCTTTCAGAGTCTTTCTGCTACTAGGTTTTGTTTGTTTTTGGGTCGTTTGATTGGCAGTGTATATGTGTGTGCCCACCCTGATTCCAAGCTAATGGTCCTGGGCCATGTCATCAAAGCATCTTCAGTGAGTTGTTGGCTTCAACTTCGACAGGGGGGGCGCACTAAACATTGGAGAGTCCTGTGCCAACGAAGACGCTTCTTAATGTTCGTGGACACGTACCTGCATGTGTCGCAGCACCGACCGACTTGGCCATGATGCCAACCGAGTAAGACAATCCACGATTTCGGGCCGAAACGTGCAGGTTCCTTAGTTCCGACGAAAGGCGCTCCTGCTGACGGCAGGGCACCTAAAACCTCGAGCCTTGAGAAACCCCCCAAAGCCTATCTCCGCAAGCCCCCAAGCCCAAACCCCTGAAGACCCAATCTTTCAAACCCCCCTCCCACCCTCTGAAGGCCCTAAAGGCTAAACCCCAAACCCTAGACTTCAGCACGTCGCCTCCTCCATTGAAAAGGGCCCCACAAATCGCCCATCGGCACACGAATATATGAAAGCCTCCAGCATGCCCCGAGTCCCTGAAACCCGAAACAATCCCCCAAACCTTCAAGCAACCGGGTTTAGGGTTTAGGGTTTAGGGTTTAGGGTTTAGGGTTTAGGGTTTAGGGATCTCATCGAGAACCACAGGTCTGTTCAGCAGCTTCTTTGGGCGGCGATGCTGGAGCCGGCCGCCTGGGTGGACGACCGGAATCCTCCGCTCGTGGAGCAAGCGCCGGACTGGGCTCCCCAAACAGTGGGGGTTTAGGGTTTAGGGTTTATAGGGTTTAGGGTTTAGGGTTTAGGGCTTAGGGCTTAGGGCTTAGGGCTTAGGGCTTAGGGCTTAGGGTTTATAGGGCAGGGTGTCTCCCTGGTTCTTGGTTCTTAGTTGGGAATGAGGAAAATTAGGGCCCTATGTATTTCAGGGATTATGTAGGGCACCTCATTTCCTTTTTCCCTAAGAACCAGCCAGTTGTCAACTCTTGATGACACACCGGGTTTGATAGTGTCCTCCGATGTATGAGAAATTGCGCCTACGTACCGACCCATACCGACCCCATTCCGTGGTCGCTGTGATCCCGTGCTTTTTTGTTGCCACGGTTCAATCGCTTCGCGAAGCTGGCAGGGACGTACTTTCTTATCTCACGAGCTCTTGGACAGCTTCGCAGTTCGAGTGTCCGTTCTATAAGGAGGGGAACCCTAAACCCTAAACCCTAAACCGTAAACCCTAAACCCTAAGTCGCAATGTTCGCAATCTCGCTCTCCTGCCTCCTGCTTCTCGCGAGATGCAGAAGTCGTCATCGTGTTTGTTGAGCCTTTCTGGCTTGGCTCCGAATGCTTCCCCTGTGCATTCGGCGGTCAAAATCCGGTCCGCCTCGGTCCCGTGCGCATGCCGCTTGTGGCGGGCAGTGTTGTCGTTGATTTTGGGTAGGGTTTAGGGTTTTTTGGGCCTTGGGTCATGGTCTCGGGCGTTTGCGACTTTCAATCCGGGTTGGCAAAAACATGCGAACATTTCGTCATCACATCCTGGTGTTCGCATCGGGTAACAGGTCCGAACGGACACATTGCTAGCGGATCACTTGTTTTGCATCCCCCACGCCTCGAGTTGGATGCCCGCCCCCCCCCCCCCCCCAGCATAACATGTTTTTTTTTTCGAGAAATCGTGTCAACAAAAGACGCGAAGATCTGAAACGCAAATCTGCCGTGAAAGAGACCTGCCAGACTTGGAGTCTCGTTTCGCGGTATATTTGTGCAAGCATATATGCATGCATGCATATACATCTATATATATATATAGATATAAAGATCTGTTTTTGTCGATGTGGTGGTATAGCAAATGTGAAGGATTGCAGTATTGTACCAGATTGAAACCGTATGTCGGCTGACTATGGGGCCTGCAAAACTTGGAGATTCGGAGCAATACCGGTAGGCTGACCCTGGGACTTCCAGACGTTATCCCACCCAGACTCAACCCTAAACCTGAAACCCTAAACCCTAAACCCTAAACCCTGAACCCTGAACCCTGAACCCTAAACCCTAAACCCTAAGCCCTAAACCCTAAACCCTAACAGGAGAGGGAATCGAAGCTTGGCGCAGCGTATGGCCTCCTACACAATGAGGCGACGGGGAAGATGGTGGATGTTGGGCTCCGACATGGTCCTGTGCCGCGGGCTCTTTGTGATGGTGCTAACCTCGTGGGATCTCAGAAAGCTTTTATATGCATAAAATCTTATACATACATATATATATATATATGTATATGTAGAAAGCCCACGCTAAGCTCAATCGCTGAACCTTAATTAAAGCGCACAAACCCTAACCCCAAACCCAAACCCAAACCTCGAGAAGACATTACGGCTCCAACCATGTACGATGCCCGGAACCGCATCGTTCACCAGTCACAGGGCATGACTTCTGACAGCTGGAAGCGCCCCAGCACCCAGCACACCTTGAGGCCCTACATCCCACTGTCCGGATGACTCAGCGGTTTAGGGTTTAGGGTCTAGGGTTTACGGTGTAGGGTTTAGGGTTAGGGTTTAGGGTTTGAGGTTTAGGGTTGAGGGTTGAGGGTTCAGGGTTTTGCGGTTTAAGCTCTACAGCGCAGGTGGCAAAGGGCCTTGGCACCATTGCTGCCCCTTTCTGCTCGCTCTGCGACCAGGCAGGGTTGGGTTTGGGGCTTGGGGCTTGGGGGCTTGGGGGCTTGGGGGCTTGGGGGCTTGGGGGCTTGGGGGCTTGGGGGCTTGGGGGCTTGGGGGCTTAGGGGGTTTGGGGTTCAGGGTTCAGGGTTTCGGGTTTAGGACTCTAGGGTGTTTTGGAGCTTCCAGAACCAACGCTCCGCACCCTTGAGCAATCTTAGCCTGCTGCTTCAGGTTCGGAGGTTCAGGGGCCTGGATTCAGAAGTCATGCTTTCAATCCTCGAGCAGAAGTTGCCACCTCAGCCCAACACCCTGAACCTTCCAACCATTTCTCAGGGAAGCTCCTGGACGCAACAACCCAAATACCCGGATGCACGACTTCCTTCGAACCATCCCGCACCCGTAAACTTAAAACCAGGTGAAGCCTGAAGAGCTTTGACACTCGAATTGTCGAATCGCAAACCACATCAGGCGGAGGAGCTGGCGAGCCTTGCACCACCGGAGGACGTGAGCTTGAGAAATTCGGCAAGCTGCGACTAGACGTTAGCCGTTTTGCTGGTATTCGGCGCCTCTTGTGGCATCCAGGCTCAGGTTCAGGTGGATTTGCAGCTGAGGTTTGACGACTTTCGGCCCAGTAGGATTGCGAACGCTCAAGCTCCCATTCCTCCAACTCGCCCTAAACGCAAATTTGTTCGTACAAGCCTCAATGTCCAGGAGTTCGATGGGCCACCAGCTAACATCCTGCTGTTCTTCGTGAGGCCCACTCGGATTGAGGTCTTTGTAGCCCTAAACGCCATACAGCCCTGAATGTTTAAACCCTGACGCCTTGAAGCCCCACAGAAAGCCCCAAAAGCGTGAACGTCCTAGGAAATCCTAGACAGCAAAACCCTGAGGCCTTCACCTAAACCCTAAACCCTAAACCCTAAACCCGAAACCCTGAACCCTAAACCCTAAACCCTCGAGGCACTTTGCCCAATCTGTTCAGGCTCTGCAGTCGCTTCCTGGACCAGCTGCACCACCAGAAAGAAGCCGACAAGCACCCGGAGTTGACCAAGCAGCTGGTCCGCTAAACCCTAAACCCTAAACCCTAAACCCTAAACCCTAAACCCTAAACCCTAAACCCTAAACCCTAAAGCCTAAACCCTAAACCCTAAACCCCCATAAACACGAAACCCCGCCAATCCCGAAACTTTGCTTACAGGGTTATGACAGGTTACGGTTGCCCAGGCCCCTAAGACAGAGCATTGTGGGCATCAGCTAAACCTGGCCGGGGCCTTGCGGTCCGTCCCACCTGGAGATGGCCCTGGCGAGACCTACTGATTGCTCAAGAACCCCGCGAAAGAATCACCCGAACCTCCAAGCATCATGCAAACTTTTTAGCGTCATCCGCCATGGGCATCAGCTGTTGTTGAGAACCAAACCTTTTCAGCATCCTGCATCCCAATGTTGCTCCAAGATTTGGCGTCAGCACTTAGCACGGGATCCGAGCCTGATTGGGGGGGGGGGGGGGGGGCGGCGACCACCATGCTACAGCTGTTTGCCTTAGGATCTCGTTCGAGTCGCAGTTCTCCAGGCTCTAATTGTGGGCCTTTATACTTCAGCCCGCGAACGACAGATTTGCATCTATGGGCTATGAGCGCATGGACATCTCTTGAACGCAAGGCATCTGACGACGTTCCTGGAGGACAAGGCCTCCAAACATTTGCAGAGGCGCCGGGAACTCTTGGCAAACGTGCTATTCGTCTGCTTTTGTGGCCCAGCATCTCAGAAACCTAAGCACCCAAACGCTGACAGAACTTGCGCAGGTACATCGAATCTTCAAGTCAGGACTGTGCTGCAACAACGTTCTTGAGGTTCAGCAGCTCCCTTCACAACTGCTAGAGCTTAGTGTTGAAGGCTTCAGGTTTCCCCTAAAGCCGCCAGGGTTGGGTGGTGCGGTTCTGGGTGAGCAGGGCCCCTTAAACCGTTACCCATTTGGCCTGTATAAGTTTGGGTGGTCAACGGGTTGAAGCAATGCTGAAACACTCCTTTAAGGATGTCCGTCAGGAAGTCGATGTTCGCTGCCGAATGCACGCTCACTTGGCGCTGACCTGTTTCCACCGAGATGTGTGGGCGGCCGAGATGACGTCCGAAACCCTTGCCCTAATGCCACCGAACCCCAAAAGCCCATACCTCCAGACTCCTACAAGGTTTAGACTATTTTAGACTTTCAGATGCGCCTGGCAGCCCGCCACTCCAGTCTAAGACGTCTAAGCAGAGAGCTGAACCGGGCTTAGGGTTCAGAACTGAAGAATCGAGGATGCAGTTTCTCTTCCGGGATTTGTTTTTTGTTTTTTTTTGGTAGGGTAAGGTTGAAGGTAGAAAATTCATGTCCGTCTCACAGGCAGCATCGCTGCCAAAGCCTAAGCTGGGTGTGGGTCTCAGGTCGATTCCGGACAACATGGTGGTGCTCTTGAGCAGCTGCCGGACTCATGGGATGAGGGTTTCCACTAAGCCCATGAGTGCGGCTTGTGCTTTGAGAAGTTGCCGGATGAAACCCTAAACCCTAAACCCTAAACCCTAAACCCTAAACCCTAAAGCCTAAACCCTAAAGCCTAAACCCTAAACCCTAAACCCTAAACCCTAAACCCTAAGCCCTAAACCCTAAACCCTAAACCTGCTGCCTTGGAGAGGTGTGCCCAGGCTTCTCTCTTACGGGGCCTTCCATTTCAAATTCGAGCTTCCACGGGGGAGAGAGAGGTGCACGCAACCCGAAGCCCATCAGAAGTCCAAGACCCCAAAGACACAGAGCGAGCTCACTTCCACATGAACCCTAGAGTCCTAAACTCTACTAGTGGACTCAATACTTCGATTTTATTGCGACTCAGCTCGGCCCGAAGCTGTAAACTTGTAAACCTTGAACCTTGTGCAAGGATAGTTTCTTTTTTGTTTTTTTTTTTGGGGGGGGGGGGTCCCGGTTTTAGGGCCCCGGCCAACATTAACGTGAGCAATCGGCCACTCTCCCATCCAAGGCTGCGCTTACGTCCTGTCCTGGCCGCTGTCTTAGAAAAAGCAGCAGGGAAGGCTACCCAGAGCCTTCAGGGCTTAGGGCTCCTAGTTGTCTGTCTCAGCACCCTGGACTCAAACCCCTAACTCCGAACCATCATCAGGCTTCTGGTCCTATCGCCACCCTCAAAACGGAACAGCAGTTGAGAGAGAGCCTACTCATTTGCTGTAGTGTAGGGCTCGGTTGCAGCTGTCCTTCGATGTATTGACGAAGGTATGAGCGCGACTTCCATGAAGAATTTGGGACGGAGCTGCAGCTACTTGGCGGCAGGTGGCATACGCCTACTTCACGTCACGCCCAACAGCCCTCAAGCCTCAAAGCCCTCATCCCCGGGCTAGTCACGCAGCCTCCCCGAAGCTGATGGCCCCAAGAAAAGAACCCTAAACCCTAAACCTTAAACCCATAAGCCCCGATATCTTTGCTGTCAACCAAGACTTCCCCAGCATGCAGGCCACGGGGAGCCGTAGAGAGGCCCAGAACTCTCGACCCTCGAGCCCTAGACTGGAGAGACCGAGCACCCACGCTCTACGCTCTGACATGTAGACGCTAGAACCCTAAACTCTTGCTTAACATAAACTACTACTTTCTTAAGAAGCCCATGAAAACACAAACATTCTTCCTGATAAGGGCAACACAGGGATGAATATATTTTTTTCTCTGGGGTTCTTAAGCAAATAGTAGTAAAGGCCCTGAAACCGTATGTCCTAGGTAGGATAAGGGGGGACCCTTAAACGGGAACCCCTTCTTAACCCTCTTCTGGCTCTCTTGAACAGGGACCTTATTCAGAGGGTCTATATCCCCAAGGGTCCCCCTAATCCTATCCCCTACTGATAAGGGCAACACAGGGATTCATATCTTTTTTCCTCTGGGGGTCTTAAGCAAATAGTAGTTAAGGCCCTGAAACCGTAGATTAATCTCTTTTTTCTCTGGGGTTCTTAAGCACAGCCAAAGAAGCTTAGGATGGTCTTCGAAGTTGTCCAGCGGCGGCGCTGCGAGGCCTTCCTTTTTGCGGCCGTCCTTAAGGGGTGTCTTTTTTAGGGTTCAGGGTTTAGGGTTTAGGGTTTCGGGTTTAGGGTTTCAGGTTTCAGGGTTCATATAGCTTGTGGGGTGTCTCGGGTGTGTCTCGCAGGTTTTGGGGCTCCGAGCTGCTGTTTGGGGTTCCAGGATCCGGTTTCCGATTTGGGCTTCGGTGGTTCAGGGTTTAGGGTTTAGGGGTTAGGGTTCAGGGTTTAGGGTTTAGGGTTTAGGGTTTAGGGTTTAGGGTTTAGGGTTTAGGGTTTAGGGTCTTCAGGCTTTAAGGACGTCAAGGGTTGGCTGCTCAGCCGAACTCAGCCTGTGATCTTATTCCAGAACCGAAGCCAACGTGGGGGGGGGGTCTGTTTGCACAGATTGCATAGGGGCCCTATCGACTTCAAATCGATGGTGGGGGAATGCTCTCCGACATGAACTTGGTGGCAGGGACAGTGGGCTTTTTCGAGCCTTCGAAAAGTAGATGTAGATGCGGCCCATAGGTTCTGGAGATTTTTCTCTCTCTTTGAGGGTAGATAATCGGGTAGGAACAACCCTAAGCCCTAAACCGCAACTCTCGTTTAGGGTTTAGGGTTTAGGGTTTAGGGTTTAGGGTTTAGGGTTTAGGGTTTAGGGTTTAGGGTTTAGGGTTTAGGGGACCTTGGCGAAGGTCATCAGCGCCCTGCAAGCTGCGGGCGACAACTTGAAAGTGATCCTGGACCAGGCTGTGGGACCGCTGTGCGGTTTAGGGTTTAGGGTTTGGGGTTTTGGGTTTAGGGTTTAGTGTTTGGGGGTAGGGTTTGGGGTTTAGGCTGTAGGGTTCAGGGTTTAGGGTTTCTTTATGGTTTGGGGTGTGGCGGATTTGAGGTCCCTCCCGACACATCATCAGCCGGATTCCTTCAGTCCTCATTGACTCATTTCTAAACCCTACTTCAACCCGACATGTTAAAATATGGGAATAGACAGGATTACGTCCACGCGCTGCTTCAGGGCTTAAGGGCTTATGGGGGCATGCGGGTGAGAGGATTCAGGGTTTCCAGCTGGAGTACGAGCCCAAGGCCCGTTATTCGTATGTCTCAGAGTTCCCTCCCAACCCGACCCCTGGAACCCCAAGCGCCCCAGAAGCAGACAGTTAAGGGGTATAAGGAGGGACCCCTAGGGTCCCTCATAAGGGTCCCTCCTTCAGTCCCTTGAAACAGGTGGCGAAGATCACATCCAACTTCTTTGCTGGTCGACTCTTGGGCCTACACTCAGCTGCGGTTTAGGGTTTAGGGTTTAAGGTTTAGGGTTTAGGGCTTAGGGCTTAGGGCTTAGGGTTAGGGTTTAGGGAGATGTTTTTTCTTTTTTTAGGGGTGGGTGGTTCTGCATGCGCCTTGGTTATGTGTTCAGAGTCTAGAACTCATGCTCAATCGTGTCAAGGGTTTGGGATGTTTTTCCTGGGGGCTGTGGGTGAACATCAGGATCTAGGTCTGTGGTTCACAGTGCACAGGGGCTTTTGAAGTTGGGGGTTGCTCTTGGGCTTACCGCGCGCCTTCGGGACGAAGCCATAAAAAAACTGCACCTAGACACCACACGTCACACTCAAAACCCGAGCAAGCATATGCCAGTCTATACAATCTCATGCTCATCCCACCGCGTTGATTCCCGAGTTCACTTCCTGAAGATCCTTGCAGTTTCTGAACTCTGCACTCAGGATCCTAAAAGTCCGCAGAGTTCAGAAACTGCTTGGGTCAGGGTCCTCCCAAGAATTTTGTAAAGCCGCTCCAACCCAGAGATTCCTCTCTCTTTCTCTCTCGCTCTCTTTCTCTCTCTCTCGCTCGCTCGCTCTCCCTCTCTCTCTTTCTCTCTCTCTCTCTCTCTCCCTCTCTCTCCCGAAAGCGGAAATGTCCCTTAAACCAAGGCCCGGCACCCAGGGCCCAGTCTTAAGGACGCAGTGTTCAGGGCTTTCAAGGGTGGCCCTAAACCCTAAACCCTAAACCCTAAACCCTAAACCCTAAACCCTAAACCCTAAACCCTAAACCCAGGCGATGAACACTGGCGTGAGGATGGTACCGGAGCCTACCGCTGCAAGAAGGAGCGAGGCGGCGACGCGGTCGGCCGCCCAGAGCCCCACAAGCCCTAAACCCTAAACCCTACACCCTGCAGCCTAAACCCCAAACCCAAACCCCAAACCCCAAACCCCAAACCCCAAACCCCAAACCCCAAACCCCAAACCACAAACCCCAAACCCCAAACCCCAAACCCCAAACCCCAAACCCCAAACCCC